TTGTTTCTCTAATCATAAAATTTATTGACTAAAGAGAAATAAACTTCATATAACTTTCTCACCACTAACACATTAAAATGAAATTTCCTTTCCCTGAATATACAATTGAAACAAACTTATGTTTTACTTATTCTGATATTACTCTTTTCTACCAGTAGTTTGGATTCTGAAATGTAGGTAGACTTTTAATCTCCTAATATTTTGTCATCAATTTTTGTGTTTATGCATTAACTTCATTTGGTTTAGTCATTATGACCTTTATTCTATTTGGATTTGCAAATATGGGAAAAATATCAGAGCAATGATATTTTCCTTAAAATTTATACTTCTGCGCGTACTATATCTGGTGTCATATGCTGGAAACATTTTCTGATATGCAGGCTGAAGAAAAACGTACTTATGCTGGGCTACGGAACTTTGACTACAATAATGGTTTTTCTAAAGAAGCTTCGAATATCAATATAAGTCTGTCTCAATTTTTATCAGATCCTCAGCAGCAGGAGAATGACAACTTAGCATGTCCTGGGCATGCGCAGCACCAATCTCATTGTGGACTTGAAGTGGAAAGGAGTAAATCATGTATATCTGATAAAGCAGAAATAAGTCATCATGGCCGGGAAGAAGTTCTGGTGAGACCCGTGAGTTACTTTTGCAGATAGTAACCTTCAACTATGAAACAACAGTCTTAAATCTTCTCGCTTTTAGAATTTTGCTTGCTCATATGTGATTCTTCATACCACTTATATACAAGACACATTAAAGCATAACTTGTTTGTGAGTATAGTAGGTATAAAGTATTGTTATCTGTTGCTTACTGTTACGTGTAATTATTTAATTATATACTAGTAAGACAGGAACATTGACATTCTAACTTTTTAAGCATCTTTTAATCTAGAAAAAGCTCTGAAATTCACTTTGAAACTTTTCGAAGGATATTTGCTCTGAAACTCATAAATGAAGCTATTTATCCCTTGCCTACGATTCATCACTTAAGGCATAACTAACATGTGCGGTTCATGCTCCTTGACGTGAACACTTAAACAAGATAGGAGAATATAAAAGATTTTTTGACTAAAATTCAAATGCCCCAAATTTTTTAGTTTCTTTTTCTTTCAAGGATTTTTTATCTTTTAATAAGGAAATTTAACTTTAGGTTATGTGTCTTCAGTATAGCCACGTGACTAGAAATGAGATATATATCTTATAGGTGTACCTTAGTTTATTATGATTTGCATCTGTGTTTAGCATATTTGGTTCTTATTTACTAATCAAGACTTGAATGTATCTATCGTACTTCGTATACCGCTACTAATCAAGACTTGAATGTATCTATCGTACTTCGTATACCGCTACATATTACATGTTCATAACATTTATAAATTAGAATATACTTGTGAGGCTTACGCCTCATGCTTTGAAGCTTACACCTTGCTTCCTAGAAGGGTCTAACGCTTCGCCTTGCGCATCTGCTTTTTGTAACATTGTTTCCTGTTAATAATATACTTGGTTTCCTACATGTCTGGCCATTATCGACTTATTGTTAAGAGCAGACTTGTGGAGGAATTATAGATCTGCTCAAGCTGCAGGTTATGAACTGAGTATGAATTAACTTAGGTTTTGCTTTTGTCGGTTTGGTCACAGTAAAATTATTTGTGTCAAAGAAAACCTTCTGCACAATGAGATAATCTTCCATGTATTAGTCTGATCTTTCTCACCAAACTTCATGAAAACCCTGCAAAGTTGATTTATAATCACTGTTGATAACATAGTGTTGAAGACAATGATAGTTGTTGCCTTAACGTACATGACTCTCACTGCTCAAACTAGGCGTTACATGCTCAAATTAAGTGGCAAGACCATGTAATTGGGTGCATGCATATCCGATTACAAAACTCATTCGTGCATCGCTTTTGGTGTAACACCCAATACTCGATGCCCAATCTATCCAATCCAGAATGCCGCTTTGAAGTGAAAATCCCTAACCTCTGCTGCATTCTCTCCCTTTCATGTCACTGACCTCCCTTCTTCCCTCCCTCCTAGGGCAGCAACATGGGGGCAGTAACTGTGAATTGGTGTTAGTGATTGCTAGTCAGCAGTGCTTAGGCAGCAATGTAACTCTAGTGGCTTGCTGTATGCAGCAAGAACTGCTACAATGATGTCTTGGTGAGGCTGAGGTGGACAATGGTGAAAGCAAGCTAATCAGGTTGCTTTTTTCCTCGTACTCTAATTCATTCACAAATTCGTTTTCTTCTCTTTTGCAAGTGATATTTTGAACGTCACTGGCAGCCAATGACTGATGCATCAAATGTTCTGGTCTGTGTGTTCCCTTTTTTTTTCCGTGGAATGCTTTTTTCCAGTGACTGACTCCACAGCACTTGCAGCATACTCTGCTCTAATGCACGGTGGGGAAATGTAAGATTTATATATATTTGGATTTTGGAACAGTCAATTGATTTTAAAGAATCTTAAACACTATTGCTGATATTTGCGGTGTTGATGTTTTAGGCTGTTGATCAATAAACGTGGTAGCTATTTCATATACTTTTTGTTTTGAATTTTCACTATTTAATATATACACATTATGTTATACACATTGTAATGTGAATACTTTCTACATTTTAGTATGATATAATAGAGAATAATGGGTATCCTTATCTAAACGTGGAATCTCATATAAAGAGACGTGGCTGAATCTCAACCTAGTTACCAAAGAGGGACAAAGAATACCTCATAATCACACTTGGCCGGTATTCATCCACATCATTGTATATGAGAGAGTCCTCTCATATGACATACGACACCCATTAATCTCAATAAAATATAATATAATATAACATAATATAATATCATATGATACGATATAATATGATATTACTATTTTTAAAGATTTCATACCCATGTTTCATTTTCTTCCTTTTAGGGATAGAAGGGTATTAAAAAATTTTAATCTTGTGTATTTAAGAGTCCTTTTAAATACATGAAATTTAGTCACACTTCGAAAATGTGAACATAAGGAATTTTTTTTCATTCAACTCTTAATAAATCTTGTAAAATATACATACATCTAATCATCACATTGATTTGAGTACTCAATCATCATCTCTTTCTATCTATCTACAATTTTAGCCAGAAAAAAACATACTTAGAAAAGATAGCTAATAAAAGTACTTAAAAAAATCTTTTAGATATTATTATTTTTAACATAATTCTAATCATGGTTAGGGATCTACTTATTGAACTCAGATCAGATTGTTTATCTAAAGAAATCACTGTTCAGACAAAATTTCTGATCTGATCTAGTTCACATCAATTCTATTTCTGTAACGAATGGTCAGACACAGATCTAATTTTGTTCATGTCAAAAAAATAAAATGCCATCAGATTCAGTTTTGTGTTGATTATGATGCTTCATCTTTCCATCGTTGTCTAGGTGGTTTGGATCATTAAATCTAGACCATGGATGGAAAGATCTTGATAACACTGCCTGTAGAATGAAGAACAACTCTTTGTTTATGCTTCTTCCACCTTTAAATGGCACAATTGGTGGTCAATATATGTGGTTGTATGCTGATATAATTCTAAAGAAATCACTGTTCAGACAAAATTTCTGATCTGATCTAGTTCACATCAATTCTATTTCTGTAACGAATGGTCAGACACAGATCTAATTTTGTTCATGTCAAAAAAATAAAATGCCATCAGATTCAGTTTTGTGTTGATTATGATGCTTCATCTTTCCATCGTTGTCTAGGTGGTTTGGACCATTAAATCTAGACCATGGATGGAAAGATCTTGATAACACTGCCTGTAGAGTGAAGAACAACTCTTTGTTTATGCTTCTTCCACCTTTAAATGGCACAATTGGTGATCAATTCTATTTCTGTAACGAATGGTCAGACACAGATCTAATTTTGTTCATGTCAAAAAAATAAAATGCCATCAGATTCAGTTGAGTTGATTATGATGCTTCATCTTTCCATCGTTGTCTAGGTGGTTTGGATCATTAAATCTAGACCATGGATGGAAAGATCTTGATAACACTGCCTGTAGAGTGAAGAACAACTCTTTGTTTATGCTTCTTCCACCTTTAAATGGCACAATTGGTGGTCAATATATGTGGTTGTATGCTGATATAGCCAACCAGGTTCTTGTACAAAATGGATTTTCAATGTGATTTGTGTCGATAAGAGATTAAATGATGATCATTTTCTACGAACTCTCAGAATTGCATTTCGGATGGAATGGCAATTGGTTTAGGAGAACCATAACTTAGTGCTCTTTTTGAGTTATAATTATACTAAATACTTGTGTATCAGACATGTGCAACTCATACTTATTGTCTAAATTAGTCATGATCCACGTGATCTGAACTGAGGATTATCATCTGTTAGATAAGTAAATATTTATATCTTTATCTATGATTAGTTTATCTTTTCCTCTGAAGAGGTAACATCATCCTATATGCCTTTTCCCTGCAGAATGTCAAAGTTATTTATATTAAATGTGTAAATTAATCACAATCTTTAATTCAGCAGCAGTACCTTAAAAGGAGAAGTTAAAAGAATCTGAGACGGCATAGGCTGATAGCTCTGTCCACATAACTGGAGCGAATACTAGGTATAAAAGCATTGTTAATCTGTAGATCACAGACAGACAGTAAAAACTGCATAGTTTCAGTTCTCAGGTTACACAGAGATACTTCTATGGCATTTCACATGTCTTGGTTGGAAATTTCTTTTTTATCTGTTAAATTAGCCCAATAATTTCAGTACAATATTTGTTCAAGATTTGGCTGAAGGTATATGACAAGGTGAGGAGTATAATTGTTATATGAATTTTCTGGTAATTTTTTTTCTTAGGAGTAAAATGACATGGTAGACATGTTTAACGTCATTCATGAAAGTCGGTTTCTTGATGAATAAGGAGCTTTTGTCTTATTCCATGGTTTTAGCTAAGATTGGTCGTGTATTTTTGAAAGTTTTTTCACTCTTCCTCTGTCCGTTTTATTTTATTTTTTTCTAGCTCCTCGTTTTCTTCCTTCCCCCAAATCTAGAAACTAATCTTATGTCAAAATTATCCAATACGACAAACAAAAACTAAAAAACCACCACCCCACCCAACCCCTATACAGTATGCTTCTTTTCCCATTTTCTGTTCCACAGATAAAATTAGAGAATGCCTTTTGTCATGTAATAACGTGTTCCCATCTTCAAGCATTTCTTTTACTGTAACATAGACTTTAAATCTACTTTGTGGGCTCTTGTAAGAACAAAATTCCAGAAGATGGTAGGGAAATCTCTTGTGATATCACTGACAAGTAGTTTAGAGTTTACATTTATTCATCAGCAACTTAACCATATTATTTATTTTCCTGTTTTAAAAGTTTATTTTGTCTCATGCTCCACAATGTTTTAATGAAGAAATCTTTATTTTATCAGGCTCCTTTTTTGGCTTGCAGAAGTTTGGGACTTAAACCTAAGAGAATGGCCCTTCCTTCTGGGCATCCAAACAAGGGTGCTTCTGGCTCCTGTTTTTTATGTTAATAGTGCTGGACTTTTTTTGTTAAAGCCAATGATTTTTATGTCAATGACTCAAAAGAACATATTCTCTGGATATGAGTCAAGCATATGATATCCCAGGAATTGTGCAATCAAAAATTCTATGGTTGTTTTGCATTGCCTTTGCTTATATACAAGTTCTTTTTTGAATAACTTATCCACAAGTCCATTCGTGAAATGACTATTTATCCATGTAAATTGTTGGGCATTTTTTTATGTTTTGAATGCTGATAGAAGTTTTGAGTACTTCAAATAGATTTGTAGAGAGAAATCTGGATAAGATAGGCTTTGCAAGCAAGAAAGTTCAGATAAGATTTACCAGAGAGGAATGGCCTGAAAGAATCAGTCAATATTCGAAGAATAATAGGAGAGGTAAAAGGAATGGTCAAATGGACTGGCATGGGCTTTTGTGGTTTAGAGAAGCCAACAGGTCTAGCTTCTCCTTGTCACAGTTTCACTTGCTCTTCTCTTAATAGTCGTTTTGAAGCGATTGCAAACATCTGGGGAAAAAAGCATTTATTTGCTTTAAGCAAAGGGTGCACTTAAGCAACATCTAGCACACTCTTAACCATGTCACTGCCAATGTTTAATTTTGTTCTGTTTCTCTTGTAATTTGTCAAAGAATATTTTGGGCAACACATCTTTCTGTATGTTGTGATAGTCAACTTTATTGTATATCATTATACATATTAATCTTATTGACTCTTTTTGTATAGTTTTAGTATCATATGCCTCTATTCATTATTCCATAATCTGTCTTCTGCTTCATAATTTCCCTGTTAATGTGTGCTTATTGAAATGCATGTCGTACAGGATGTTGTTATGGATAATTATGATCCTAAGGAATCATCATACTCAGGAAAAATGTATTTTAATACGGCTCAAGAAGGAAAATCATCTTGGAATATGTTAACTTCATCTCAAAGTGCGCTAGACGGTCAAGGTCATACCAGAAGTTCATTCCTAACACCTGCTCCTGAGGTCAAATTTGAAACTTCTGGACAAGCAGGGTTTGATCTCCACGATTCTAATATGGATGACCATTCTGTTCTATCAGGTCATTCTACTCAGGTGAAGGTTGAACCCTTTTATCATATGCAACAAATCTCATGCAATGAAGTCAGTGATAGTATCTCCCCTGCTGCTGTGGGAATGTCTGAGCTATTATGTGAATCTGGACGCAATGATGAGATTGATCATGTTACGTTGCAAGAACGGTATAAATTGATGCTATCCAGTAGAAATCGAGCCCTTGATGGTCAAAGTAACTTGGAATTTAGTGGAAATATTGAGAAATGTGCTACTGTATTTGCTTCACATAATAGGATACAGGGTAAAGACAGTGAAATTCTCCCTAGAGAAGAGAGACGTGAAGCTCCGTTGTAGGTGTACATTATATATGTTTTTCTATGTAATTTATTGTTATCTTATGCATTCTAACTTACATTAACTGCAGGGTCCATTTGGAATCAAGTGACAATGTCTGTGCACCCGAGGTAAACATATTCTATGTTCTATGCTTATTTTGGTTCAATGCATGATAGCGTATGAAAGAACACCGTATCATAAATTTGGTATTACCACCATCAAAAGCTTTTATTTTCTATCTACTATGGAAATAATTTTTGACAAATTGAGCTGTAATGTGCTGCAGAGTGCAGATTTTGTAGATCAAGATTCATAATGGTTATATTAGCATGTGGAATAGAGAAACATTAATAGGAAGTGGAATAGACTGCTGGATTTTATACAGATTCAGTTATTGTATTGGTGCGCACATAAAAATATTCATAAACTATCATCGTGTCACACTTGACTGCCATGAACTTCTTAACTTATAGGAAACAACTTGAACTTTCTACAGTTCTTTTAACTACCTTCCATTGCTTTTCCATTTGCCGGCATGTCACTGGTGTGCAAATGACAAATCTTGTTGGGACCTCCTAAATCTACAATCATAATTTGTGCACATTATGACATCTAAATCTATTTATCACCTTTTAAGAGGAAGGGGAAAGAGGTCAGTCTAGGACTCTTGTTAATGCTGCTAGAAAGTTTGATATTGACGAAAAGCTCAGGACAACATGTATCACATAATTAAATCATCTCTTCTCCATTATTATGAAGGGGAAAATGGTCAGAGGATTGCTCTTAGCGCTGATAAGCATTACAATGTAGTTCAAAAAGTCAAAAAGTTAAATGGTATTTTACTGTAATTTAAGAAGTTTGCGGTAGTTTTCATTTAAATTTTGACAAAGTTTGGTATTTTGTGGTTGCCATTTTATGCGAGATCAAGCTAATGCCTTGGAACAAGTCGATGGATTTAATATGCAAATCTGAACATTGTTTAGGAGAAAACTTCCATTTGGTTGTTTGAATAAAGCTCCTACTTTGAAAATTTCCCCCCTACCCTATTGCTCTCCATGATATCCTTTACTGGATGGTTTCTGTTTTGGGGTTCAATTTTCTCAACTCTTTGACAATCTTAATCACATGTATCATCTTAGCATTTTTCTCTATCCTATTGATTTCAGCGACATTCCTGTAGTGTGTTTCTGGTCTGATAGACCTTTATTCAATATAGAAAAATCCTCATTTATATACATACACCAAGACATGCATAATAATATATAATAGTGTAGAATAACAAAATCATTAGCCATATATGTATGCGTGGACTGACTCACGCGCACATATCTTTATCCATGGGTGTGCATCTATATAGATATATGTATCCATATTATATACGTGCAGACACACATACTTGCGAGGATACTGGATATGAGCTCGTTGAGCAAAATGAGAGTGGTGAGGTCCACCTGCTTCGGTAAACCTGGAAGTTGGAGGGAGAGTTTTGTTCCTTTTGTGTGTATCATTGCGCTTGCGTGTCTTTATAATTCTCTAATGTACTTCAGGAGGTCCAGATTGAGATTATCTTGTCAATGTTTGCATTTGGTTTGCTGTTTGACAATGAATTTCTACTGGTTAATGGCTTCATGTATGTGCAGGATTCTTCTTTCAGGCTTAACACCAATAACATGAAAAATTGCTTTGGTGGAAATATTAAGGATGGAATTCAACCTAATAATGCACAATTTCTGCATGAAGAATGTCATCATCACAGCACTCAATATGACTATGCAAGATCTAATCCAGTAACAGACTCACCAGGTGTTGTGTTATCAGATGGTCATCTTGCAGTTGGTCAGTCTTTTCCAAGTTTAATGTTAGAAGCTGACAGATCTGATGAAAATGGAGCTTCGGGGAATTTACTTGCGTGTGAAGCATCTTCTCCAGAAGTTAGGTTGCCTGTTAATACGAGAGAACCTGGACATTTGCATGGTAAATCTCTGCCTGACACTTCACATGCCTTTTTAGTCCAATGCTGAATTTTGATAAGAAAATACGGTCGATTATATTCACAAAAGCAACTTCGCTTTGGGATAACGTACTGATACGCTATGCTACACAGATATGGATGCCACTATGCACTCTTCTATGACTGCTCCATGTCTCTGTGAAGTCACAAGTCCAGATGACTCCTCCCCTGGAAGATGCAAATCTCAGCAACATCAGGAACATAGCTGCAGATGTTCAGATGGAACAGGCATTTTAGGCGCTGAACTGCTTGATTCAGTAGAAAGGATACTGCATCATAATGATTGCAATCATCCAAGTAAGACAACTAAATTTGTCTTCCCCATTGAAGTTAAAGCGGAGCCGTCGGAAGAAATTACCAAGTGTATCCCTGAAAAGAATGCTAAGGAACTTTCAAGTTCTTTTTCTGAAAGATTCTCGAGTTCCAACAAAAATCTTCTTGCTTCAGTTCTGTCGAGCTGTTCTGTCAGTGGCCGTCATGAGGACCATCCATCAATCTTGCCAGAGATCTATATTGTCAAGAAGGAAAATATTGATGGACCAGCGACAGACTTTATAGATCATATTCCACTAATGGAACGGATGCAGATGTTATCCTCAACTAGTGTCGCTAACTTGAGTCATGATAAAAGTGTGGACAATGCTCTACAAGCTCTACCCTCTCCAGAATGCGGTTCTTCTAATGTAAATCCTGAAAAAAAGCGTTTCTCGCTCAGGAGGAAAAGGAAAAAGACTGCCACGTGCGCATCAGTTTATTTATTTGTTTTCTTTGCGTCACTTATGCATTCCCTTTTATGCTGGTCTAACCATTTCAATAGGTTGCAAACTTATAGTTTAACCCCACCTTTGTGTATTGATATGTGCAGGGACTCGGTGGAAGCAGCGCTTGAGGAAGATGCTCCTGGACTTTTACAGGTATTTTGCATGGACACAATATGTTATGATGTGAAGAATATTATTTTTCTTACAAGCGATATTATTTGGACAGGTTCTACTTGATAAAGGTATAACTGTTGAGGAAATTAAGCTTTATGGGATTGTAGACAACAATGCAGATTTACCTATTTGCTCCTCTGAGGATTCTTTTGAAGAACTTGAGACTGTAATAGCCAAGGTCAGGCCTCTTGTCTCTCAAAACTGTGTTTATTTTTAACTTATTTTTATTCTTCCTATTTCGCATTTGCATTACATATTCAGACATTCTTATAGCTTTTTGATATTTGGGATATCTTCTGTTTAGCTCCTGGATTTATTTGTGTCCCAGAGTAGAATGCATCCCCTACTTCTAGATTGTTGTCCCTAATCTAGGTGATGTGAACTGGTCTTCTCGGATAATGACAAACCACTCTCTTGTCTGCATATCATTGGCTAGGGACTAAGACTAACTAAGATGGGATTGTCGTCAGTTCAGTGCCTGCTATAGATTTTGCCAATTTGGCCATGGGTTCTTGTGCTTGATAGGAGACACCCATTTTGATGAGAAAATGCATACGTGAAAGTGATGGTAGATTTTTGCATAGCATATTGAGCTGTTATCAAATAGTCAACAAATATTTACTGGTAGCAGATCCAGGCATTACAGCACATGCAAATAAATATAAAATGCTGACAGTAAATGGACTTTGGTCAGTTTCATTCTGCGATTTTTAGAATAATGCTTGGATTTATATTCATCTGAGAGATTGTGATGCCAGGATTATCCTATTGTTACAACCATCTTTTCCATCAAAAACCATGATGATGGCTAAGATGATACATTTAAGCATTTTCTTGCATTTTACCAATCATTCAGCACATAGGACATTTGATTAAACCATTTCAAGATCGAAATGGAGAGGATCCCAACTATTTCCATTAGATACTATATTATTTTCTGCAGAAAATCAACTATACCAGAGACCACACCTTCATTCAATACCCAGCTTAGACCTACAAATTTGATCTCTTTTTGTACATGAATATCTTATATTGTGGGGATTGGAATTTTTCTCAAAGGTAGAAGAATATGTTTAAACATAGTATGAGATAATGTTAACCTTCACCGATGACATTATTCAGATTGAACCTATATTCAGGTATCCAACCTCAGCTCACAGGTCAACTTTCTGTGGTTGGTAGCATTATTATATCAGATGACATTAGTAATTCAATGTGAAATCTGCAAAGAATCTTGAATATAATTCTCGTTTTTTACTTATCCATTGTAATTTTAAACAAAATAAGGAAGGGAATGTGACCGTATCACATCAGTATACGTGCTACATTTTTGGTGAAGGGGGGAGAGGAGCAAGAAGTTGAGACAGGGAGCGGGAGAGGATTCCTTCTCATCCTGTGAATTTTAGAAGTAGATTTTGAATGGAAAAATAATATTTGTCAAAAAAAAAAAAGAAAGGAAATATAAGCTGGAAAAGTGAGTCAAATTTTACTGAAGTTTACCATTCGAACCATTGGTGGGTATATGAATGTGATTCCCCTTCCATGTTGCAATAACAGTTATATCTTCAATGCTTTTGCCTGACCTTCAGTTATTGTGGAACATATTGAGAGGTTTTCCTTGTCTTTGTGAATTGAAATTGCGTAACTATACCTTGGACGTGCCTAGTTTTGCTGCAAGAGCATGCTTTGCAGTAGCTTTCCCACATGAATTTTCCACTCAAGGAGTGTTAAATTCAGATACGTGTGTAAAACGAGTGATAATCTCATTGGCAAATCTAGTTTCAGATATTGTCAAAATTCAATGAAGCATTAACATGATGCAATAATACTCAATACCATGTACTGTGCTGATGGAAAACTTGCGATGATGATGGTGATATAATGAGAATGATCCATTTTATCAATTTCTATTAGACTACATTTTAAGATTGGATTTGGAGATCTCTGATAAGGGAATCAATGCGAATGGTTAAAATCGGAGGGTATAAAAGATGCACCTCAAGGAACACAAGTAATGTGAAATTCACATCGACATCTGGTTAATTCAGTTTGAATAAAAAATATTACTTTTGGGCTTTCTTTCTTCCTTGAGGTATGACATGCGTTTTTATTTATTACGAACATCTAATCTGTACCCAAAAAATACATGTGGACTCTAGGATTCTGATCAGTCTTCCTGATTATCAATACCATTTATATATAGGAAATATGGGACATGCATTTTTATGAATTGCCGCCACTGTCAGACATGTAGTTCAACCTCTTATTTTTTAGCTCTGGGCACAACTTACCTCTACATCATGGTATAAATCTCTTTTAGTTTTTCTGTGAACATATGTGACATGTCAGGTTTGACCTACCCCTTTGCTCAACATCTAGTCTAGCATGACATCTTGTACATAATTATTACAATATTGCCATTCATTTGTTTTGTCTGATTATTTTTTTGTATAAAGATGTAATTTGTGATCCTTGTTGCATTAATCATTCGTTGCAGAACATGAACATGCCTCTTTTGTTGCCTTGATCAGCTGACTCTTTCTTTCTCTAAATCTATAGCTCTACCTGTTATATCTGTATATATTCAGGGAGATGTATGTGTCTTAGTGTTTACGTGCATAGCTTACATAATTTATGTGACTGTATGTAGACATGTGTATGTCTGTGAGCACATGTACATTCTTACATAGGTTTGTGTTTTTGCGTGTTTATTTATATTTCAAAATTTATGCTGATCATTATTTACTGTTTTATGTTCGTGTTCCGACATCTGTTGTACAATGCGGTTTTCACCTGGGTTTCAACCGTGGATTCCCAACTAAAGCAAATCATAATAACAAAAAATTTGGCGCACCTTTTTAGCATGTTTCCCCCAATGCTGATTTCTATGAGCCTCTTGTAAAAGTGTCTTCAGTTATTTTATGAAGTATTGTCTTGTCAATTTCAGTTATTTTCTGAGGGGTTATCTTGTCTCTTTCAGTTATTTTCTGAAGGTCCATCCGTTTTTAAGTTCCCTCACGTGAGGCAAATAAAGGGATTTAAAGCTGTTTACTGTTTAGCCTGCTTGATTTCACTTATTGAACAGGTGAGGAAGTTCTTTTTGAACCTTCAATTCAAGTGTTGCATTATAATTGTCTGTTGTATTTGTAGCTGTACTTGTTCACTTCATGATACGTTGTTTCTATAATTTGTAGGCTCGATATCTCCGCTTTCATCGGAGCCCTGTTGAGTGGGGATGGTGTAGGGACCTGCAATCTTTCATTTTTGTATTTGAGAGGCATAATAGGTTGGATTTCTTTTTCTTTGATGTTTTTTTAGGAAATTTCAGTTTGTATCTTCTCCGAAACCATAAAAACATACAATTATTTATAAATATTTTACTTTGACGCAGGATAGTTTTGGAACGTCCCGAATATGGGTATGCTACATATTTCTTTGAGCTAGTTGGCTCTTTGCCCATTGACTGGCAGATTAGAAGGTTGGTAACAGCAATGAAGCTTCCTTGCTGTAGCAGAACAATCTTACTTGAGAACAAGCCCCTGGTGGTAAGATTTTCCAGGTTCTTTCTTTGTCATGTCTGTGACTTGCAGAAGGATCAGATGTTCTTTATTTTTTGCAATAATTTATTATACTCGACTATAGCTTATCTTTTTCTTGTTTATAGTTAACATGATTGTAAACAGTAAACCAGAAACCGATAGTTTTCAGGCTAATAATCGAATTTGGGAAATTCTGAATCCATGTTGGATTCGGGTCAGATTTGGATCTAGAATACTAGATGCAAATTAGATATGGACCATTTCAGATTTAGTTTGATTCCAGTCCAAAAATCGAAAATCTGGCCCAATATCATACACATCTATTTTCGGGGTGACATGACTTTTCTCTTCTGAGACTAATGAAAATTCCATTTATATTTTGAACATGATAAATTCTTGTCTATTTTTTAGTACGCAATAGCATAAATTATGTGAAGTCTATTTCAATTTAAAATAAATGTTTGATGAAAAGGGTAATCAAACTTAAATTCTGCTTTTTAGTTTTGGGTTTAGGTTGGATTCGGAGTAGGCAATGAAGTTGGTCAGATAAGACATTTTCTTATCAGATTTAGATCCTACATACGTCCCATTGTGATGAGGAGCAGCGTGAGGGACCGATCCGATCTGAGAGTGGTTGAATGGTCTTTGAAAACTATTTAGATTTGTTCGTAGCAGTGTTTTAAAAGAAAAAGGCGAGGAGGTCCTATGTTGTTTGAGGTGAGAAGCGCCAAAAAAGCCAATCACCTAAGTAAACCAACTAAGTAAACCAAGGTGATAAATATTCAAAAAATTCACATAAACATTGCAAATAATATGCAAATCTCAATAAATAGAAACACAAATCTAATAAGTCATAAACTATCCAAATGAAGTAACGAATATTGAATCGTAATATTAATGTGTAACTGCTAACACATATAATTAAGCAACAAACTTTGAACTTTAAGATTCAAACCGTGGCATGTTCTCAAAATGATAGTAATCAAGTATATTTCAACAAAAAAAAGCAAAAAATCGACAATGAAAAAAAACAAAATAATTCAGTAACAAAAACAAACTTTACTTTATCAGACATCTTTCGCACCCTTAAAATTTTGAAATAGAGACAAAACACCTCACTCCTTGCATCACATGTGTTAGGCACCAAGGCAAGGTCACAAGGCACCAAGGCGAGCTATTGAGGCGCTAAAAGGCGATCATCGTAGTAACCTTTATCACCTGACATTCTGACAATACGCAAGGCACTAAGTTACAAGATCGCCTTGCCTGAGCGTCTGAGGCGCTAAAAGATGATCGTCTTAGTAACATTCCTCGCCTGACAATATGTAAGGCGCTAAGTTACAGGATCGTCTCGCCTGAGCGCATGAGGCACTAAGGTGCATCGCCTTTAAAACACTCATTCGTCGTCTTGATGGAATGCGATCAGCCGCATTAGAAAAGGAAGATGGGGGCACATAAACAGTTGTTCATCCGTTAACAGTAACTTGGATTACTGTTTACCCTCTAACAGCATGTTGAGTCACTGCTCATCAGTCATCAGTGACCAGTAACACTATAGGGATTTCTGTGTTGCTTAAAATTAATCAAGGGTTAAGATTTGAGGTAGGTTTTGTTAGGGTATTTGGATGGATGGCTAGGATTGAAAGCCAAATAACTAGGCTTCACACCTAGGGGCTGCACACCCAAGGGCTTCACACCCTAAGGAGGCAAAATCACATGATAAAGAACACGTCATGTTCTCAAGAGAGAATTCTCATAACCGAAACTTTATTCATTAATATCTAATTCCTCATCAATATCTAATCCTCATGGGCGATTACAACTTTATCTATAGAGAAAACTAAACTTGAAAATTAAATCAAATCCAAAACCAAAAGGAAGCAAAATGAAATGCCAAATAAAGTAAATTCTCAAAGATCCTAAATGATCCTTAAATCAAATCCTAAGAAAATCTTACCTAAAAATAAAGATTATATCATATAATATTAAAATAAAAGAGATTCTAGTAAATCCTAAAATCTTTTGATCAACAGCCCATGAACGTTCTGCATCTTATCAGAATCCGAGCCTTTACAATCCTACTCGTTAATTCTTGTTTTCTATGCCTTAATCTGCATGTGCGAGCAGTCTGTTAATCAGTTAAAATGTTACATGTTCCTATATTTGTTAGACTAATCTTCATTAAAGGTGATTTGAGAGTCCATATTTTCAAATGGAATGATATAACCTGAAGCCAAAGGGTATAAACTAATTTACGAAAAACAGTTGGGAGTGGAGAATATGCATTTATTATTAACTTATTTGCTTATACAGCTGAAGATATATTCAATTAAAGAAAAGGTAAAATTATAGCATAGATCAAGCGTCGCTAGTGGAATAATGATTGGTCTTCTGCTGGCAAAAAGGATACATCACTTATGTGGACAGGTCTTATTTTTTTTTCAGTTTCCTTACTCCTTTGGGTTGTCATCCAAATCTACGAAACGACCCAAACCTCTAACAGTAGGAATAATGTAAGTGGCAGATGTCCTGCAATCTTGAGGTTGTTGCTGTGCCTTCTGAAGATCCATTATGATCCTTATGATGGTAGATATGGCATCCACTGCTAAACCATCTAGTCACTTTCTACAGCTACAATCTTGTTGTAGAAAAATAATGCTCCCTTTTAAGGTTTGACTTCTTGCCTAGTACTTGATATTTTTCCTACATGCAGATAAACTCTATGGTTCTCGAGTTATATATGATATTTGTGGTATTGCTGGGCTGTAAGACTTCTTAGGCAGCATACCATGCACAATCAAGCTCTAGATTATTAGATAGTTCTTTCCACACTCTAGACACTACTAACACGTTTAGTCTATCTATGACTCTTATCTTAGTTATCCAAACCTGTGTATTTTTGAATATTCTATTACCAATCCATGTCTGTGTTGGACACGTCTTTGATATTTTCAGAGTCCTTGATTTTCTAATATATTTTAATTTCCAGCACTGTTTAGAACCACTTATTGAAAATTTGAAGTTACTTATTTCATACTAATTTCGCATGAGACATGCATCTCATTTTCCACATATATCAGAACCATATTTTATTGGGAAGAAACATCCAAACAATGACTTGTATATAATAAAGATAAAATTAGCTTGAGAGGTGAGATACACAGTTATTCTAGAGAAAGATGATCGGGGTCTATTTCCAATTCAAAACCATGAGAATGTATTTAAACATTGCATTTTATTCTAGCATTAGAATTTGGAAGCAATGTTACATTAAACGCTGGGCGCTTCTAGGCGTCGGACTTGGCGCCCAGCGCTTAGTCGCCTAGGCGGGCGCCTAAGCGGTTTCTGGGCGTTTATTTTTCTTTTTTCATTTAAGTGGTGGTCGATGAGGTTTTGCTGAAGGTCGGATGAGGTAGTGAAGATGTTCATATTTGGAGGTTAATGGAGTTTGGAGGACGTGTAGGCTACGACACATAAAATCACAATCAATGCCTACAGGGTGCAATCTACGTAAGCAGACAATGCTCCCCTAAACGATCGTAAAATCTAGGTGGGTAGCCTAAATACCGCCTAGGCGCTAGGCGCTAGTTAGGCGGCCTAGGTACTGTCTAGGTCTAGGCGTACGTCTAAACGGACTAAGCGGAGGTTTTTTAAAACAGTGTTTGGAAGTGTGCATGTCTTGCATTATCACGTGTGATATTGTCGATCTGTATTTCGTATCTATACCCATGCTTCATAGTTTTTGTTTTGTTAATTTTTTAATGCTTTCTTATCTCTCTTCCTGATGAGTTGCCAGTATAGCTTTTGTTTTGTTAATTTTTTAAATGTTTTCTCATCTCTCTTCCTGATGAGTTGCCAGTATAGCTTAGATGATGTTCCATGATTATTTTTTCTTGGAAGGATCTCTTCGGTTAGGAAATGACTCTTCAGCAAGAAAAAGTGTTTATCAATGATACATATTCTAGAGTACGCAACCTATCAGAACCCCACATGGTGCAGGGTGATTTAAGTCATTGAGGGGGACACTGAAATTACCTTAGTTCCCCCCTTAACCCCACATGCTAGGGCTGAGAACGCCCTACACTGTGCGGAGTGTTCTGATAGTGTTTATATTCCATATTCTGATTGGGAAGCTCAAACGGGACTTAATTTTGATAACATAGATGGTACACCTTATGATTCCTGAGCTGGATACCTGAGCTGGAATCCAAGGCATACGAATGAAATGTAAAGAAGTACAAACTACTCAATTGGTTCGGCTTTATATGTCTTAACTGAAAGTTGAATTTTGTTCATGTGTAAGGTAAACAAGATAAGGCATTCATAAGTAGCAAGCATGATGGAATTGTGTAATGACTGATACAACCTTTAAGCTGATTATATATTTACCTAAAGTTCACTACTCAACACTTCATTCTTATAAAGGTTGGCGAAGATCTGACAGAAGGAGAGGCTCTTGTCATGGAGGGATATGGTTGGATTCGAAACACTGGTCTGGGGACATTGCTCAATTACTGCGATAGGGTTGTGCATGATAAGAAAATGGAGAGGTACAACTCAGAATGGAGGAACAAGATTGGTAAGCTGCTAATGAAAGGCCATGATGGCGGACGCACTATACTCTCTAATCTTCCAAAGAAGGTTGCTCGATATATGGAGTATCGAAATCCAGAAGTTAAGCAAGATGCACCCGTACCCTCTAATCTCCCGAAGAAGGTTGCTCAATATATTGAGTATCAACATCCAGAAGTTAAGCTGGAGCTGGAAGTGTAGTGTATAGACACCGATGAAGACAATAGCAATGTAAATATTGGGTTTGAGCAGTAATTTAACAGCAAGAAATCTACAAGCCGTGTATGTGCTGTTGTTTATTTGTGGTGTTCATCTTTGCTCCAACAGATACATGATGCTTGTAAAGTTGTTTTGTCTGCCTCCTAAATATCTTAGACGGTGCTTGTGTTTGCTGCTCCTGGATGAAGTAGGGGCAGTCTCTTCAATAACGTCTAGTTGTAACATAGGTCATCCAGCTAAAAAACGTACGTTTAGCGAGTTGTTTTCCTTCATTTGACATGGTTGCTGATTGTTGTAACTGCTGTTGCTATGTATTTCATTAAAGTGCAAAAGTTCAGCTTCCATTAAAATTAGCGGTGACGTCTGATCTAAAAGCTTCTTACGAAACTTGTGGATTGGAAGGCACAATTAAATTTTGTTTAAACTTATCCTGGCGTTGCAGGTTGACTGGTAAATTGCAAGGAGAAAGATGGCAGTATAGATTAATTTAGAAAATGGAATTTATCGATTTTGGTTATTCTTTCATTGCCCAAAACACCACAATTGGAAATACCCTCTCACAGATGACAACATAGGCATAACAATGCAAAAAAGATATGTCGACCAATTTGCGATGCTGTTGTCTCAATTAGCCCTGGAGGGCAAAAGATAAATAAAGGATGCAAATCCATTTCCCTGTTGTACATAAACCTTAGGTGAGGGCAAAGGGAAAACCAGTCTCCTGTTTCAATAAAATATACTGCCTAAAGAACATGAAACCCGAACCAAATAACCACTCAAATGAAAATTGTCGCCACATATACTGCAGCAGCATCCTTATAGGGACAAATAGCATCCTGTATCCAGCTCCTAAATCTCTGAGAAGATAAAGAGGCACGGTTTAGCATCGAAGAATAATATGGTTATGCGAAAGATGAATTTAAACTGAACTCTAAACTAGATATCTGCTCACATTTACAAGCTCCACATGAGACCATCAAGGTCTCTGGGTCATGGTAAAAATGGGGTGTTCACGAAGGTCACAATCATGAGTTGGGTTTCGATTGTACTTCTTCCTTCCAGCCTTTTGTGAGCAAATCATAGTTTATAGATGCAAGCTGCGATAGATTCTGAACACAAAGACAGACACATGTTAATAAAGAGATCCTAGTGTGAGATTCTGCATAAACACAAGGAAGAAAGACAGCAAATGGATACAAAGAAGAAATTTATACTCCAATTTAAATTTACTGTAGAATAGCTATAAAGGAGTCGGTCAATTTTTCAGCCTGGAACTTCATAAAGAAAACTCTAGAAGACAGGCTAATTATTTTCATGTTTAGTTCAAATACTACGATAGAAACCAGCTACTTATTTTCCTAGCATTTATATTTCCTTGGGTACATAATATCATTTTCTGTGAAAGGTAAATTGGCAATGTATAGATGTAAATCGTTGAGGAAAAGGATATCCATCTTCCCTTTCTGTAAGCTCTACATTTTCTTTGGGATCAGATTGGTAAAGATTTGGGTGCCCCAATGGTCATAACATGCGATAGGCAGACACTCCACTCACAATAAGAATATAATGAAGAGTTATTACCACTCATCATATCCTGTTTACTGCCGGAGGGATCATATTGTAAGCTATTCCTCTATGATAATATAGGCGTTCAAGTTAATCTTGCACACTTTTGAACCACTGGCTATTCTTGGCTACTATTTGGAGAGCTTAGTGCTAATCTAGAATGAAAAGACCGTTTGGAGGCACTTTTACTCTAAGCAATATAGTATATGTTGCCTTGTCACTCAACAAGAGTTTGCAGTTCATCGTTATTTACCAAGCAATTTAGCGGGTTTTTAATGCTCCATCATGTACCTAGAGGCAACCGTCTCCATAAAGTGCTACAACAACTAAAAGACCAGAAACCGTAACTGATGCAACTGGGATGAAAATTTACCTTGAATGAGAAATTACTGAATGAGTAATTGACAGATGACTCAGATTCAACCTCTGTGAGACCTCCGCTCTCTTCTCCCTGAATTGTGGTCATGTCATTAAACTCAGTGAGGAGTTATTGGCAATGGTATGACTATAAGCATGAATCATGATAAAGACTTTAAGGTTGCTACTGTAACTATATCTGAGTGGATCATGGAAATCAATATATTAGGTTGCAGTTCGTACCAGTTCATCATGGCGATTGCTCTCGTAACTACTGCCTCCACTCATGCTTCCATTGTCACTAGAATCCTCATATTCACTGGCTTCGTTAATGTATTCATCTGATGGATTCCAAGAGTAACGACTAGTGAAATAGCTGGTATCATGTGCATTCTCGGATGAGGGAACAAATGCGGCCTGCAAAGTGGACAGAACAGTTTAAGCTGAAAGGGGGTCAAAGGGACAAGAAAGGAAGAACATGGTATCATAGTGGCACCTTCTGTCTGGCAAGTGTATCCCAGTTGATATTTTTGAAAAAGACATGCTGCTTCACCTGGAAAAGAAGGACTTCAGACATTTAAACTTACGGATTTTAGGATTTTAAGCAGTGAAAAGAAGAAACAATTACTGCTAGCAAAAGCAAAGTACCTCTGGTGCTCCCCTAGCCCCCAGCCTCTGGTTAGGATCTTCAGTTAACAATCTGGAGAAGTAATTGGAGGGAAACTTCAGAAATTGAATAAGGCAACAGTTGACCTCATTCCTTTGACAAAGGAATATGCACTAATGTTACATGAAAATTTCAAGACGAGAAAACTTGAAAGCTGGCCAACTAAAGAGGAAAGAATTAAATAGCTCACTTGCTGCTAATGCTCATAGTGAAATTCATGCTTTCAAGATTTCCAGGCAAGGGTGCCACTGCAAATTTTGAAGCGTAAATTTCATTTTAAGCCCCCCTGAATGTTTTTTTTGTTTGGGGGGGGGGGCGGGGGGCAGCGGGTGTTGCACGATAAACCCCCTAAACTTGTCTCACTAGCCCCAAAAATAACACTGATATATTTTCCAAGCATTCAAAAGGATGACGATATCCCTCAGTTACTTAAAAATTTACCAATTTACACTTTTTGGGGGTTATATTTTCAAAAAGCGGCATTTTGCGTCATATCACCATTAACGAGTAACATTATCAGGGGGTGTGTTCACGCAGGGCTTTTTTTTGGTTTGGGGGGGGGGTGACGGTGGTTATGAGAGCACCCCAAACTTTAGGGGGGTTAAGTAGATAAACAAAATCCATGGGGTTATGTGCGAAACCCCCCAAGTTCAGAGGCGACAAGCGAAATTTACCCTAATTTAGAATCCACCTTTGAAGAGGATCAATCTGAAGGAAAATGAAATACTACTTTTAGATTTTGTAGCCTTTGGGTTGATAACATGTCGGAAATAGGTCATTTAGCTTGAAAAGGAAGTTATATGGGAGGATTGTATTTCATTCTTATATGTCGACTGGATATAACAATGTGAATCCAGCAGGGGCTCAAGGGACATGGGCAGAGAAACTTTCAAAACAGAAGACATCATTAAGTAAAACTCATAGCAACACAAGCATTCTAGCTCTTTGGCAGCGCAGGGTACACAGGCACATGTCTGCGCAATATATTAGTCCACAAGGCAGTAGAAAAAACTGTCGTACATGCTACATTTCATCTTAATTGTTAATCAATTATTATATTTCCAACAACTTGAAATATATAAATGAAAACTGAATTACAAACTGAAAAAGAAGTGCCAAAACTATGGAGGGATGGAAACCAAAATGTAGTCAAGTTTGTGAAGAATTCTACAGATACAGGGCTATAGCTGAACTCAGCACGCATAAATTGCTTCATGAGATAAATAGGTTTACTGAAAAGAATCTGTTGTCTAAATTATAACTCAAAGTTGAAAATTATCAAAAGGAAGACAGTATTAACAATTTACTGATATTATATTAAAATATTGTTTCTTTCCATAAAGATAAAAGAAAGAGAATGTGTTAAAATGGGTATATAAAGATTGTCAAATCACAACTTTTTCTGTATATCTTCTTTTTAAACAGAGTTTTATACATAGAGTGGTAACTGAGTCCTTTGGTTCAATAAAACGTTGTTCTTAACTGAGTCTTGCAACTTTTAGTGCAGGCACAGGTATAACCCCTTCATATAGTAATAATTAAGCTTACCGTCGCTGACCAGAAACACCTCCTTTCCCTCAACCCCAGCAGCAAAGAAAAAAGAAAAGGGAAAAAGAAAAAAAAAGAAGCAGAGGCCGTGTGCGAATGAGTGAGAAAAATCAAATTACTAGGAAATTTCAAGAGCATTAAGTTCTCACTTGTCAATTAGATCATAAGCTTCATAGCTCATCTCTTCAGGTACTTGAGGCCAGGGTATCTTGCGATTCAGAATGTTGTCAAAAATAGTCTACAAGGAAAGAAATAAAACCAAGGAATAAATGGGTGATTCTTACCATGTTGGCCAAACAATATCAGATAAACTATTATATCATGATATATGAAGTGCAAGAAAAGCTGTTTTTGCATGAAAGCAACGCGTAAGGATCAAGGTAAGTTTAAACCTTCACTCAAGCTATTTTGATCTGCTGAAAGCAATGTTACCTGGGTACTTCTATTAGGAAACCGTACTCATACCCATAACTGTACCCAAACCGTTTGGACACTTCTTGGATATATCCATATGCTTATTCGGGTGTATACTAAATTATATAATACACGTTTTAATTTAAAACACTTCTCATAAACTTCTTGGATGTATATTCTAAACTTCACATCAATTACACACACACACACACACACACATATACAAATATATTATATGTAAATAAAAAAAATGATATTGATCGTATGTATATTATTAATTTTAATACATATAAATATGCATAACATACATATATAAAGCCATGTCCCCATACCCTACCTTTTACATTTTGTCATGTCCCGCAACCGTACCCATGCAACCTAGGCTTAAAGGATAATTACACAAAAATGTTTACCGTTTTAGCAGCCTGTCCCCCTAAGTAATGAAAGAGCGCATAAAATAAAGTGAGAGGTTCATGGACCAAGTAAGAGCAAACAAGTGCATGCTTGTATGAGTTTTTTTTTGGGTGTGTGTGTGTGTGTGTGTGTGTGTATATATATATTTAGTTCCCCTTCTGGGTATTAAGTAGTCCCTCTTCACAAATAGTCCAGTCCGGGTAACAAAACAAACATAGAATAAAATGGTGGGTCCGGACTGTTTTAAAATAGTACCCTCACTATCAAAAAAAAGAAAAAGAAAAAACGAACACACACATGGCTTTAGAGGCATATCGAGAAGAAGTAACAGTATTAACAGCACAGATATATCTGATTTTGGCATTTTGCAACTACAAAAAGAAAGCAGAAAAATGGATAAAAACTCGAAGAAATAGGAAACATGGAAAAATAAATAAATAAATACAGACTCGCTACTGACAGTCACCATGGTGTTGTCGGTGTGCTCGCCATTGATTATCACGATGTATTGACATCATTCATTACTGCTTTGGCATCCTATTGGATCAAGGCTCCTCAACTGCATAGATTTCTGAAGAGGAAAAGAACTGTGTGTCGAATTTGAGGGAAATAGGGCTTCGATTTGAGATTTATATACTTACTGTGGTGAGTCCTGTTTATTTAATGTTCAGATGCTGTCTCTCTGAAAGTTAGCATTTGTTTGTTCGATACACTTACAGGAAGAACCTTAAATCAAGAGTGTGAATTAAGAAAAGGGTTGGTTAATGAACACATACGGATCTTCTTTTTCATCATTTTGATAGACTAAAAGCAGATTATCCCCATCAAAAAAGGACCTTTTCCTGGATTATACATTAATATCAAACTCATTTCTTTCTTCAAAACATTTGGTATAATCCATAATATCTAGTAAGTACTCAAAATCAGTTCAATCTTTCATTTTTCACAAATATGTGCAGATAGTATCCCATCAATATCTATATGTTATCTGTATCCATAAGAAGAAAAGAAATAGAAATATAGCTAATTTATGCTTCATTTACACTCCTATGGATACTCGAGTATGAGATTGATATATGTAACACACTATGGAATATCCTAAAACTAAGCACACGTTCAATATGTATCGCTAATGATCTAAGACTAATTAGTTTAAAACCCAATGCCGAACTATGGGTCCAAATTCCATTTTAACTGTAGATGCACTCGTATCCTCGTCTGCTTGCAAAGTGAAGATGATTATTCTAAAACCTGTTCTTACATAACTTGGAAATATTTTAAATTACCTAAACTAATGCTTTTTTCAACCATTATGGCCTTATGAATTCATGTTATAGTCTTATAGATAAAAATTAAAAACATTAACTCACATACACAATTAGTTTTCAGAATTATATTCATGATTATATTGTTATCTTGCATTTTCAGGCTTCGCCCACAAATCACAGCAATACCAGTACAATATAGCTAGTGGTTCTTAGTGGCATATTTAAAATGACAATGTATCAAGCAAGGTTTACATCTAAAGCCACTGTTCGCATCATGTCAAGTGTCACTATGTTATCTGATACTACATTTCCTATAGTATCAGTTGTTTCTTAAGAATGCGCCCAAGAGTTTACTACTTGTCACTGTATCATGACGTGCTCTTTCCATGTTTATCAGTTTGCATTAAGGATGTTTATGGCATTTTATCATGTCATTTCAATGAACAATAAAAAGAGGCTAAAAGCAATATATAAATTTAAAATGAACCTGGGGATGCTCAGCATTAAAAGGTGGAATTCCAACTATCAGCTCAAAGAGAATAACGCCAACAGACCACCAATCTGCACTTGCACCTGCAGAACATCATCAGCATAAGCATTAAGTCAACAAGTTCTTTCTTTCTCATTACTTCAATAAAGAAAACAAAACAACCCTAACTGAGTGGGTTCTACCAACCATGTCCTGTTCCTAGCAGGATCTCTGGTGCCAAATAATCAGGTGTGCCGACAGCAGAACGTTTCTTCCTTCTATCTCGCTGATTCAATTGCTCAGACACAGTAACGTGAGTCTCCTCTTCTCCAAGTAGGGATGTCCCGCTAACAGCTGGCCCAGATAAATCATCTGTACTGTTTATAAGGCCAACTTTGGAAAGTCCAAAATCTGTCAACTGTTCGGGTGAAGGAAAATAAAATTGAGAACATGATCACATAGAATAAAACCAGCTTAACATGCCCGCCAAACATGGAAGGACGGAAGAAAGAGAATATACTGGTATGAGCCGTTTAAAACCATTCAATGCTATTCTGCCGGTCTGAAAATTATACTTTTGATCCAGCTGGATCAAGGTAATCAACATAGCTTTTACTTTTAATGTGTTTGACTAAGATATCTGCATTCTGAACATCCCTCCACATAACATAGGCCCGCGGCTTAAGCAGCAGCAGTCCATAAAAAAGATGATTATACCATATCATTTTGCCCGATGTCACTGTTCTTATGTGGCCTTACTACAAGAATCCTTTAAGCAGCCTACTGTTGTTCAATCTAGTCAAGCTCCTATAGTTCTGAAATAAGATTGTTCAGGTACCACTTTCATGGCGTCACCATCATTATCAAATCCTTTTACATTGAAATGAGGTTGGCTAAGGAGCATGATTCGAAGATGAGAAAGCTCCATGGAACATGGATCAAATTCTTATGACTGACACCCAATACAAACCCTCATGTGCCAGTGCCCTACTCCCTGACATGACAAGCATAAACAGAAGATGAATACACAATAGGCCAAGTTATGATCAATGTGTAGACTGAGCTTTTCCAATTTGAAATGGGCATGGTGATGGTCATGTGATAAGGCTCAATCAGATGTTAGCCTCTGATTTGTGATATATGATGGGCTGCTTTAATTTATAAATTTTGACAAGTTGAATTATAAAAACTATGTGATGATAAGGTAAAACCACAAAACCATAGCTAAATATAATCGTCATAAATGGGGGGAAAATAAGAAAGAAATAAGAGAGTGAGGTGAAACCTATAGTAGGATATAAAGAAAACTAGTCAAAAGAAACATGCATGCACATAACTTAGATAATATAAACATTAAAGAATGTCAATTTTCTTCTTCTTTTTTCCCCTAAAAAAACATCAAGCCAACTTATTCATAATCAATTTTCTAATTATTAGGCATTGCAACACTTATGCTATTCACCTATGTCTGGACTGCAAAATAGATTACTTGGCTGGTAGCCTGGTACTAAGCTAAGATTTCTTGTGCACCAAAAAATAATAAAAATAGAGCATTATAAAGTGAAAACTATATCATATGTTACTAAAGTTACCTTAGGCGCAAGTGATAAACGATTGCTTTCCCTTTCCACCTTAATAACTAATTAGGAGAATGACAGACGTGCCAAAATGTATAACTATGTACAACTATGATGATGATATGTTCCCATAATATGTTGATGCACATGCGAGAGTTTGATATCTTCGGGGGATGAGACAATTGATAAGCATTTCTTTTCCCTATTTCTCTCTCAGAAAATGAGGATGATGAGACAGACATGCACAATACGTATAATTATGATGCCTTACATTGAATATGTGGAAACACTAGTATATCCATTGCAGATATTCAATGGAAATGTGCTAACGTCATAATTATATATATTATGCATGTCTCTCTCATCATCCTCACTAATTTTTTAGAAAGAAACAGGAAAAAGAATGGCTTATGAGTTGTCTCTACCCCAAAAATATCAAACTCTAGCATGTATGTCGCACATATTATGGGAACATATCGTCATCATAGTTCTACATAGTTATATATTATGGCATGTCCGTCTCATTGTCCTAAGTAGTTCTTGAGATGTAAAAGGGGAAAGGAATCTTTTATCAGTTGCTCCTAAGGTAACTTTAGTAACATATACCCTGGTTTTCACTTCATAATGTTATAGTAAATATGGAGGCATTGACTTAATGTTTTCTTTTAGGGAAAAAAGAAGAAAAATGACATTCTTTAGTGTATATATTGTCTAATTTATGCGTATGCTTCTTTCTTTTGACTGGTTTTCTTTACACCCTAATGAGGGATAGGAACAACTCAAACCATGGTATTCGGCAACATATCAGTGAGGTAACTTGTATACCTTGATATGTCCATCATGTGCAATCAACAAATTATCGGGCTTCAAATCTCGATGTACCACACGCAAGGTATGTAGGTATTCCAAAGCAAGAACCTGCAAAAGAATTCAAAAGTAAAAAGATGCGAAAAATAAAAGGAAAATAACTCTGTTGGAAGAATCGAGCTTACAACTTCTGCTATATATACACGAGCAACATCTTCATCAAGGCAGCCTAAATTTCTCAGCAATGAATACAAGTCCCCTCCATTCAAATATTCCATCACAAGATATAGATTTTCCCGAGATGTAAAAGAATAGAAAAACCGAACCTTAAACAAGCATAATGCAGATTAGGAGAAATCCATCAGTTGTCATTGATAGTATAAGATAAGAAATATTAAATCGTCACAGTAGCTCACCACAAAAGGATTCCGAACAGAGATTAAGATGTCACGCTCAGCCAATATGCTTTCAACAGCATTTTTGCGGATCATATCGGCTTTTTTAAGAACCTGCAATAAATTTTTATGAGAATCAGACATCAAAGTTTACTGGCATAACTGCATCATGCGTGCAAACTGAGACCTATGAAGTTGAATATATTTTCAATATAAAACTATTTCATACATCTTCAGTATGCAAGAAAGTAAGGGAAATGACTTCTCTTCGTCATTTGTGTTAAATTATAAAGATTGGTAGTAGTAAAACAGCACTCTTAGAAACTCGGGGAACAGTGCACATGTCCTCAGCCAGTAATAAGCATGCAAACACAAGTACAAAACTGAGTAGATATGTAGAACTGAATGAACTGTAAATGAGTATTCCATGTAGATTGGACCTGATCAGAGGTTCACAAGTTTGAGACTATATACCAACTCTAAACTAGTTTTTCAGAACTAAGACATCATTATAATTGGAGTCACAAACTTTTTTGATACAAAAGAAAGATAAAAATTTTAATGCAGGCAGCGACCAGCAGTGGATCCAAAGGGTGTCAAGCAAGGTTTTAAATATCGGTTATCAGGGATTTATCGGACGGCCAAAATCCTTATCGGATAGCGGAAATCGGGGATAAGTAGTATTTATCGGAGTGATATACTGGATGATGTGTATATATAATATAACAATTAAAAAATATAATCTAATCATGCTTAATAAAATATAAACATACCAAAATGTAAATCATCATGTTTAGAATCATTAACCAATTGTAGAAAGCGAAACTTGCATCATAGCCTTGAAAAAAATATAATGTTAGTCAAAATGGGCCGATAATCCCGATAATCCCGATAAAAAAGTCTAACTTATCGGCCGATAAGTGCCGATAACGCCGATAAATCGCCGATAAACCTAGAAAAACGATAACCGATTAAAAATCCAATTTATCCTAGCGGAGAGCTCCCAAATCCGATAACTCGGCCGATAATATTGATTATCGGCCGATATTTAAAACAGTGGTGTCAAGGGGTAATAGTATATACTCTTGACTTTTCAGAATCCCTTGAATCCTTCTTTATTACTTCCTCTTTTAAAGTCCCTAATTTCTGATTAGTTTGACAATTCATAACCCCAAATGAAAGGAAAAGAAAATAAAAGAGAGATGGAAGTTGGATAATTTTTTCTCATTTTTCCAAATTTTGATGTCAAGATATAATGATTCTTAACAAATTAATTTAATCTCTCAAGAATCCACCAATAACGAAGCCATTTTATTCATTAATTAGAAATCAATGTTTTTAAGAGGATACAACAAAAATGTATGCAAAAAGAAATTATGAAAAAGGTAACTTTAATTTGTCTTATGTAGTTTTGATACCCTGCCAAGAAATTATGGCTGCACCACAAGCTGCAGCCAAACAGTAGGCTGTTGCTAATAAACCTAGAAATATGTCCCCAAATTGATAATGTTATTACAGAGCCACCAAAAAATGAATTCTTGAAAAAGATACCCAGGGTTAGCAGATAGGAAATACCTTAATAGCAAAGAGGTCTCCTGTTGTCCTTTTCTTGGCTAAAAAGACTCGACCAAATGCCCCACGGCTTATAGGCTTTATGATCTCAAAGTCATCAATAGATGTGCGGTCCTTATTTATAGGGTGTATGGGACTTGTTCGCAAGCTACGAACTACATCCTCTTCTTCATCCATTACAGTACTTGTTGCATCGACCTTTTCAATATCAACTGTATCACAAAGCTGAAGGTATTTCTCCCTGTAATATTGAACAATTAAACTGTAAAGACAGCATACAACAAGCAGTGGTACTTGTTCACTCAGGAAGGTAAGGCTTTCTTCTTAGAAAACCACATGAAAGGAGAAGATACAATACAGACATAAACTTGAACATTATGGTTAAAAAAATTTAAAGAGGGAAATCATGTGTATTAGGAATCTGGAAAGGTGCCCTCACCGATGAAGTTTCTCTATTCGAGTCCCAAATGTCTGTACAGTAAGAGCCTCAAGCTTCCGGTGACTTATAACCTCTTGTAGATCTTCCACACATGAGACTAAATAAGATAAAGAACGCTCATCATCTAAGGCGGCATTTGCTATACACCGTGCAATATCAGCAAGTTCTTCAATCTGGACATTTAAAAATGCGTCAGTAATCAACATAGAATTATCGGACGGCCAAAATCCTTATCGGATAGCGGAAATCGGGGATATATCGGGGATAAGTAGTATTTATCGGAGTGATATACTGGATGATGTGTATATATAATATAACAATTAAAAAATATAATCTAATCATGCTTAATAAAATATAAACATACCAAAATGTAAATCATCATGTTTAGAATCATTAACCAATTGTAGAAAGCGAAACTTGCATCATAGCCTTGAAAAAAATATAATGTTAGTCAAAATGGGCCGATAATCCCGATAATCCCGATAAAAAAGTCTAACTTATCGGCCGATAAGTGCCGATAACGCCGATAAATCGCCGATAAACCTAGAAAAACGATAACCGATTAAAAATCCAATTTATCCTAGCGGAGAGCTCCCAAATCCGATAACTCGGCCGATAATATTGATTATCGGCCGATATTTAAAACAGTGGTGTCAAGGGGTAATAGTATATACTCTTGACTTTTCAGAATCCCTTGAATCCTTCTTTATTACTTCCTCTTTTAAAGTCCCTAATTTCTGATTAGTTTGACAATTCATAACCCCAAATGAAAGGAAAAGAAAATAAAAGAGAGATGGAAGTTGGATAATTTTTTCTCATTTTTCCAAATTTTGATGTCAAGATATAATGATTCTTAACAAATTAATTTAATCTCTCAAGAATCCACCAATAACGAAGCCATTTTATTCATTAATTAGAAATCAATGTTTTTAAGAGGATACAACAAAAATGTATGCAAAAAGAAATTATGAAAAAGGTAACTTTAATTTGTCTTATGTAGTTTTGATACCCTGCCAAGAAATTATGGCTGCACCACAAGCTGCAGCCAAACAGTAGGCTGTTGCTAATAAACCTAGAAATATGTCCCCAAATTGATAATGTTATTACAGAGCCACCAAAAAATGAATTCTTGAAAAAGATACCCAGGGTTAGCAGATAGGAAATACCTTAATAGCAAAGAGGTCTCCTGTTGTCCTTTTCTTGGCTAAAAAGACTCGACCAAATGCCCCACGGCTTATAGGCTTTATGATCTCAAAGTCATCAATAGATGTGCGGTCCTTATTTATAGGGTGTATGGGACTTGTTCGCAAGCTACGAACTACATCCTCTTCTTCATCCATTACAGTACTTGTTGCATCGACCTTTTCAATATCAACTGTATCACAAAGCTGAAGGTATTTCTCCCTGTAATATTGAACAATTAAACTGTAAAGACAGCATACAACAAGCAGTGGTACTTGTTCACTCAGGAAGGTAAGGCTTTCTTCTTAGAAAACCACATGAAAGGAGAAGATACAATACAGACATAAACTTGAACATTATGGTTAAAAAAATTTAAAGAGGGAAATCATGTGTATTAGGAATCTGGAAAGGTGCCCTCACCGATGAAGTTTCTCTATTCGAGTCCCAAATGTCTGTACAGTAAGAGCCTCAAGCTTCCGGTGACTTATAACCTCTTGTAGATCTTCCACACATGAGACTAAATAAGATAAAGAACGCTCATCATCTAAGGCGGCATTTGCTATACACCGTGCAATATCAGCAAGTTCTTCAATCTGGACATTTAAAAATGCGTCAGTAATCAACATAGAAATCCCAACAAAGAACTAGTCAATAATGAATACGAGAGTTCTATATAATACGGAGCTATATATAAACAGTTTGTATGTCATCCACACAAAACTAGTAGGGAGACTGTCAACAACAGCATGTGTTTGATCTGAAAGGAAGCACTGGGATTATATCTTAAAATACAAAAATGAGAGGGGGAGACACTAAATAAGTGTAGAATAAGAAGATACAAGTAACTACCGATTTAAAGGTAATGAAAGTAAAAAAAAAAAAAATCTTAAAACAAGTTGAAGCATATTGCATACATTAACCCTCAAAGAGAGGACAATAAATCTTATGATACCAAAGTTCTCCAAGATTCAAATAGAAAAAGAATTGAAGAACATAAAAGATCTTAAAAAAAAGTTGAACTTTTGAAGCACACAATTGCATATATCAACCCTCAAAAGGAGGGGAAAAGATATTATGATGTCAAAGTTTTCCTAGGAAACGTTATTCTGCCATTAGGCCCATTGCCAAACACCAATAAATCACTGAGAAAACAATCTGATGTAGTAGTGAGCACACGAGATGCACAAAACAATTCTACACGCATACATAGAGGGAAAATGCAACATGAAAGACAGCAACTCTCATTTCCTTCCAAGTTTCTTTGCATCAATCTCTCTGAAGTTGAAGCACACGATCATTATTCAAACTCTTTCACATATAAATAGGGTTGGCTAAGAAATATTACTCCAAAGTCGAGAAATCTTCATAAAAAAACAAAGAAAAAACTGATATAGCAACTGGGATCACAAGCTGGCTGGTAGTGCCCTGCTGTTCATGGAAACTATAGACAAGGGAATGGTCCTGCAAAACTTGATATTCAATGGTTGAGCCCCGTTCGTTATAAACCAGAATTGCTGCTGACCAAGGATCCTGTGTCCAAGGCCAGCTGTTTTCTACGTCCAATCCCCAAATTCAGCAGGGCTCGGTTCCAGATAAGTAAACTAAGACTTGATAAGATCTTATAATCCTCTTCGAGTCCATAAAATAGAAAATTAGAATAAAGGTTAATGCATTTAGGAAACATGATTCTCTTTTAGTATTCTAACAAATGTGGAACAGGTAATATTTGAACCAGCCTGCACACATATCAATATATGTAAATTTCCATTTCTAATTGAATTAGCTTATGAAATGATTTTCAGTAACTTCTCTAGAGACTGATAAAAACAGCATCAAGCAGCAAAATTCAAACATATGCCTTCCTGGGTAGACATTGGGCCAAGTATGGTAGAGAAAATGGCACGGTCTAGAACACTTCCACTTTAATTTACAAGTGGTTCATTTTTTCCCTTTGCTTTTCCCTTTTTTTTTTTAAACAATAGACCAAAGACTGATGCTAGAAGCAATCCAGACCCCTTGCAACATCTCAAGTGGTTTTACCACCATGCCGCAGTGACACTTGCAATTTTTAATGCTCCATGCGTACAAACACCGACCTCATTGGTTATATGATTCAAGTTTCATAAATTTTCATGGACCACGGGAAGCAATCATCCAAATGCCCAAAACTAGAAAAACATACGCAAAAAAGGCAAAGACAGAAGCTTGCAGTGGCATCTCTGATCATTTGTAAGGTCTAGAGAAAATAGAATAAATTCCAATTAAATAAAGATAAAAAGCAAAGACACTAGTCAGATTGAAATGGAACATATATGATACAAAACTAACTACCTGCGGAAGATCCTCGGTTTCAGAAAGTGCACCCTTTCCAGTCAAAAGCATGTCTATATGACTGGTTCTAGGTGTCATTAGAGGAGAGCGAGGAGTCATGCTGCCTGCAGATGAGGTTGCCATACCTTGATCTGATTTCGAACCAAACCGGGTCTTGCATGTCATTGGTGGAAGGTTCTTCATGTCATCAAAAATGGTATCTGCCTCCTGGAAACAGTCTAGCATATCAGCTGATTCTCTCCTGGACAAATCACCAAGTTTTGTAGAAATGACATCAGAATCTTCAGTTACGCTTGAGTGGGAAATTTTTGTGATATCTGGGCTTCCAGCTGCATTTGGGATGTCTTTCTGTGCACAAACCTCTATCATTTTTTCCAGTGTCTCAGCAATTCTGATGAGACGTTCATCAACACTCAAACCCTTCTGGTCACATCTGTCAGCAACTGCGCAAACCCTTGAATGGTCCTCCACATACAATGTAGGAACATACTCCTCACATATGCGACACATTATTGATCCCTCATCAGAAAGATTCTGTTGATCCCAGTTTCCCCAGGAAAGTTTATGTTGATGCTTGGAAACATCAGAAGCCTGGATATCAGAATCTCCAGACCCAGGTAATTCAGGCGGGTTAGTTACAATCTGATCCACATCAAAATTTCCTCTCCTATTTAATCTCTGTGAAGCATCCTCCTTCCTGTTGGACAAGCCATCTTTCATGGGGCTACCTTCTTTCTGGTTTTTCTGTCCAGGGGAAGGAAGAGGTTTCCAAGAAGCTATGCGCTCCCTGTTTGCAGTTGATTCCTCTTCTTTCGCAGTTTCATTGTTGAGCTGTGAGAAGAAGTTTACGGGTTTTATCTCCTGACTTCTTTTCCATTTTAAATTATGCTGCTCCTGGCTATAGGACTTCCTTGAAACAGCTGCTTCCATGAAGCTCCTGGTAACCATAGGGCCTTTGCCAGCTTTTCCTGGTCCAGATAAAACACTTTTATCAGCAGAATGAAGTTCTCGTAGATCCATAGCCGGTTCATCTTCAGCAAATCCACTTTCCTTATGGAACTGAAGTAATCTTGTACATCTAGTGAGAATAAAAAGCATGCGAGTATGAAGCTTCTTCAGCACCCCCATGGGGAGCTCCTGACGTCGGTCATCCAAATCTTGAACTATGCCTTCACACTGTAGCCAGAATTCCCCAGGAGTCATAACATCACAGCTCCGAGCGAGTAATAGCAAATCTTCTAAAGTTTCTTTCCACTCAGGATGGCTTTCTGCATGCTTTTCCATTATCCCAACCAAATCCCCAGCAAATACTGCCAAATCTGAGTTCACCTCTTCCTTAGCTTTCTCAAATTTCACCTGAATGACTTTCAGCACCTCCTGTATAGAACAAAGTGGGAATAAGAAAGAATATATGATATTCGCTGCAAAGATACCCATGTGCAGTCACTTCAAGGAGTAAACAAAAACAAGATGCAGAACAGAAGTAGGCTTTCTCAACATATATAATCAAACAATTAAAGAAAGGAAATACTCTTCAATGAATATAGCAATCTGTTACCTTGGAGTTATATAAGCCTCGGGGCTTCCAGAAAGGAAATGGCCGCACTCCTTTGGAGTTCAACTCATGGGAAAAACTTTTTATATCTGCAGGAAACTTTTTCCTGGGTGCACTTGTCGCCTGCATTATGGCTTTAAAACGGGGAGATTCCGACTCCTTTGGAGTTTCACAAGCATCGTAAGCAGACTGTATGTAGAAAAGGTACATGCATAAAACTAGTCCAACAAATAAGCACGAAATACTAAGAAAAGAATACTCGTTTAATATGAAAGAACAATAAAATAGCTTGAATACCTCTGCCTCTATGGTACAAGCAGCGGAACTTTTTATGCCTTCAGAATGGTTCCATGAATTTCCTGAGAACTCAATGAAATGAAAGAAAAAAACAGAAATGCATTGAAGATATATAACTAGCATATTCGATAAAGTAGAACAAAAAAATATACATAATATCTCTGAGTAAAGAACCGATAGTACAAAACTACCACGAAATATTAGGGTTTTGTGTGCAAAACTTCATAAACTATTTTTATTACTGAAAAATACAATAAACTTTTTCACTGAACAGCGATGACTGAGTGATAGACATTAGTGTAAGTTGGCATGCGATGCACATGTGACACAATCCGAACAGTTTGGCCCTTGTTTACTTTATATAATTTACACTCTCACCCTCTCCCTCTTAAAAATTATTAGGGTTATTAACTTATTATAGGTCTTAACAATGTCATTACCACCACCAGGGTAATTTTATGATAGTGTGTGGTAGTCTTCTGCAGATCTGAAAGTGATACTTCGCTTGCAGTATTAAAAGTTGATGGTACTTTTCTCAAATAAAAATAGTTTAGGGCAGTTCTTGTGCAAAACCCACAATAGTTCATGATAGTTTGTAAAAAAATTTAGCCAATCTTTAATTCGTAATACTTTTACAAGAAAAAAAATGGTGATAGAGAACAGAATGTAAGATAAACTCCTTCTTGCAAAACTAATGCGGGTTATATTTGTAAGATCTATTCAACTTATTCCACCGATGCCAATATGTCTTTTTAGAAAACTGGGTACTAGTGGTACGGTACCTAAATTTACCACTGAAAGTATATCCAGCCTGGGCAGGAGAAGATATAACATCTCATAATCACAAATAGAATTTCAAAAGCCTCTTGAGTAACTTTCAATCATGTGATCGATCCCTTGACAAATTCACACTAATTACAATTTATAGCTACCAGATATACATAAAATCTACGAAAACAAATGGATAATTGCATTTATTCCTCTCAAGGGCATTTATGATTTAACATAAACCCTTTATAGTTTTATGACTTTTATCTTCAACCCTTCTACAGGAACCAATGCTTGAGAACATGCTTCTAAAAGCATCCCTAATAGTATATACTAGATAAAGAATGAGTGTGTGATGCATGGGTATATTTGCGTATGCGCACGTGTATGTATGTTTGTGTCTCCCTCTGTAACCCCTCCTAATTTTGGTACTCCAATGGTTATTCCTGGTCCCTCTCCTATGGATGATCAAGGCTTTCAAAAGCAAAGGGTTTTCCTGCAACCGATAAAGCACAGTAGAAAATCCAAGAATCCGAAAGACATAGGGACTTCTTTGCAATGGAAATAAGAGAAATAGAGCCCGCTAAATACATTACGATATGTTTTTTCACACTTTCATTCAGTTCTAGCTATCTCCGCATCTCCTAATCGACCTGAACAACAAATGCATATCCCCTCCGCCCCTTTTGGCATTATTAACACAGTATCTTTCAGTCGGCCCTCCATGCCTCTTTGGTCTTTCTAATGCAGAGGCCACTTCGCACCTTCACTCATTTTTCAGTAGTTCACGCGCCAGAAAAAGGGCCTCTTTATTTGTCTAATAAGATAACCAATGAAAAGCTGGAGTCCTTTAGTGTATTCCATATAAAAGGAAAATAATGCCTGACTGAAACATTTCAACGCATAGCCAAGCAGTGACAACAATGCAATGTACATGGTCACTCAAAAATAAATGATTTTTCAGATCTGAAGAAGTATGAAGATGCGCGCCCACTTCATGTATATCCCGACCACAACAGCTTCCTTCCTTCTTTCTATAAATTGGATAATCATACCAAGTATTCACTCTATACGTGGACTATATGTTTGGCAACAGCAAATAAAAGAGAGAATGTGAAATGTTTTCAACAATAAAGCTTACTACTTTGTGCTTAAATCTTGCTTCTAAATCAACCATGTCATGTCACCATTATGCACGACAATCTTCGCCAAATCCAAACTCTCTAATAAAATGGCGATATTATTCAGCTTATTCACATTAAGTTCTCATCTCCTAATAACTTTCTAAATATTGATTGTATCTTAAATATTATTAAATACAAAATAAATTAAATTAACTAGAAACATCAAACCTAAAATATCATCAAAGCAGCCATACCTAATTGTCCTGAAGTTAAATCCGCATTGCCAATCTGATTCCTGAGCCTCGAATCCCCACTTCCACCATGATCACCCCAAGAACTTGGATACGACTCCGGAACCGGAACCTTCTGCAGCCCCCGTGCATCCTTCTTCTTACCACTGCTCTTTCCAGCAGCCGACGATGAAGAAGTCGAGCAAATTTCACTTCCCTGCCCTCGGCCGAGATTGCTATTCCCAAGTCCGGACATCCGATGCCCCGGCGTCTCCTGCGGCAGAGGTCCAGATAGTAGAGGCCGAAGCAGAAGCAGAATCCTTTCCCTTGATATCTTTAGCTTTGAGATCGGTCTTGCTCTTAGTGGACTGATGGAGCTGCTGTAGGGAGTGGCGAAACGAGGAGGCGGGAGACGAGGAAGAAGACGGCGACGATTTGACCTTCTTCTTATCGGATCTGTTGGGGGAATCGCGGGTCGGAGTGTTAGGGCTGTTGGATCCGTCGGGGCTCGACGACGACTCCGACGATTTCTTCGACGAGAAGAATCGCCCCTTGAACACCATTGCTAGAGCTCGATCGCTGCTCGATATCTCGATTTCGTTCAGTTAGGGCAGCAGCATCTCTGTCAGGACGGGGGATGGATATTTTTGCTGAAAATTAGTTTCCTTTTTGGGGGTTGGTTTTGATCGAAACAGTGTGAGAGAATGTAGGGGGAGATTTGGTTTGGATGGGGAAAGTTCAGGGGAGAGAGAGAGGGGTTGGACTTGTTTTCGGGCAAAAGAGTGAATGAAGCGGCCTTGACTTTTGAAACTGGGCTTTGTCTAATGGTTACCACGTGGAATAATAGAGGTTTTGGGGAGAAAATGGAGGATGACTGTGTGGGGTTAATGGAGCTCTTTTGAGGTTAGGGTGAGGTGACGTGGACAATATTTATTGAGCGGTTCTGTAGCTTTTTCTCTCATGAATGGTTTTGAATTTTGAAAGATGGTACAAAAGGCAAATTGACATGTTAATGTTAAAAAAAAGAGCAAAGTATATTTCTTTTGAAACTATTTTTAGAGAACATTATTCTATTTTTCACTCCTTCTCATTTCCGCCCATATTATTTAAATCTTCATTGATTTCAGATTTATTTTAGAAAAATTAGAAAAGGTGCTGCCATCTTTAGGAATTTTGAAGCATCCGAATCTTGCAAATCGACCAATTAATTTTTTTTTTTTTTAAATACCTATTTTTTTAACTTGTCCCCACCCTTTTTCATTACATGAAGTTTACCATACCAATGATACTATCTTTTCTCTATTTAACTTTGAATGGTAGTATCTTGTTGTATTCAAAATGGATAATGTATTATCGGTTCTCCCTTCATAATTTTTAATTAAAATAAAACTCTTGTGAATCCTATAAAAGTCCATGGATAGATTTATAGAGAACAAACATTTTCGAAAAAAAGGGAAGTCGCAGAAATTAAATTGACACTTGAATCTGCAATGATAGAAGGTGATGTCATATCCAAAGAAGACTGGTCATACAATTAGACGCTATAAAGTGTTATATATATGATTTTATTTAGGGCATGTTTGGCAAACCTGTTAAACAGGTTTTAGTTGGAACAAACGTGGCCCAATAGCTTAACCTTCGCTCGGTAAAGCAAAAAAGTTAGGTTTAACCTTTTTTTTGCTTGGCGCCATTTTGCGTAACAACTGGGCCAAAAAATGAACCATGGTTCCCCTCCTTTGAAACAAAACCCGTCTAGTGTGGACACAAAAAATCTTAAGAGAAAAAAGGAAAATTATATGATTATCAAGTTGGGCTCTATTTTTAAAGATTCTTGTTTACCGTTCACTAAGTAGTTTTGAACAAGTTTTGTTTGAAGTTAACCAAACTAGATCCATCTCAAATGTAGTTCACATATAACTAGTTTAGCCTAATCTAGACTAAGACTATCTAGTTCAAAACTAAACCAAGTTAGTTTTTAAGTAATCATACTGGCCCTTAGGATTTCACTTTGAGAATAATTCTCAAAAATAGGGATACATGACTGGAGATGGAGCAACATATCCCAAATATAACATGTTCTATGATAGTTGTGGTGTACAAGTTTGATACATCGAGCGTCGTCCACAGTTTGAAGTCTTAGGCCATGAGAGAAAGAATGAGACATTGAAGTGATTGAGGGACCCAACGGCCTCTAAACACTTCACTCTTGTTGAGTTGAGAGGAGTGGTGGACACTAAAAACTATATCGTTATTATTTCTTTAGTGGTACAAACACATTACTTTCAAATACAAATACTCTCTCTCTCTCTGCTACTAGGATGGGTCTAACACAAACCCTTGGGGGTTATTTATAACATTGGTTTAGGGTAGGTAACCACTATTAGGGTTAGGTGATTATTGTAGCTAGGTAGGTGAAGGGATTAGGTGGGGGAAAGAAGCCGTTGACTTTAACATTCCCCCTCAGTAGCGACTTCTCTATCCATGAGTCCAAACTGACTTCGAAATTCTGTAAACTTTGAAGTACTTAGTGCTTTGGTGAATGTGTCAGCTATTTGTTCATTTGTCCCGATTAGCTTCATTACAATCTCCTCCTGAAGAACTTTCTCTCGAAGAAAGTGATGATGTACTTCAACGTGTTTTGTCTTAGTATGAAAAACTGGATTATCTACCAATCATATTGCAGACTGATTATCGCAATGTAAAGCTATTGAATAGTCTGTGAGTTGATGTAGATCTCTCATTAACTAAAAAAGCCATGTGCTTTCCTGAGCTGTCATCGTTGCTGATATGTACTCTGTCTCTGTAGTTGACAGTGACACTTTTGATTGTCTTTTGCTACACCAAGATGTAGCCGCTGAATTGAGACAAAACATGCATTCGGTAGTAGATCTTTGAGTGTCATAATCTCCAGCATAGTCAACATCACAATAGCCATAGACCTCACGTTCTTCTTCTTTCTTATACATGAGACCATTGTTAATTGTACCCTTGATGTACCTTAGGATCCTTCGGATTACTTCTTAGTGAGGCTTTTTTGGCTTCTAGTTTCGATAGACTTTTACATATTACATAGTTTTTTGAAGCTATTAATTGGGAAACAGATAGAAGATTCTTTTTCATACCTGGTACATGGTATACATCTTGTAGTTATATCCGATTTGGGTTGTAGCGCGTCATAAATGTAGTCTTTCTGATGTGTGTGATAGGTAATCTTAAATTATTCGCTATCATAACTTCTCGGCCGCCTTTATACTCCTTCATGTTGAAAAGTTTTCCCTTATCTCCCGTCATGTGGTTGGAACAATCAGAATCGACGATCCAATCTTTATTATAGTTGATTTCTTCTCGATCTGAAAACTACTGCAAATGCGGACTCAGATTCTTCTATAATCGAGGTTAGTGCCATACCAACAGCCTTGTCTTCGTCGACTGGTATATCTTTCATAATGGCCATGGATGCTTGGGCATCCCATTCTTCTTCTTCATCTTGACATCTTCACGATGTTGTAGCATTGCCCTCTGCAGGCCTCCTCTTGTAGCGGCAGTCTCTGGCGAAGTGACATTTCTTCCCATAATTATAACAGCTACTACCAGGTCTCCTTACTTGAAGATCACCTTGCTTCTCACGCTGTTGTGTTCTGACGGTGTATGGTTATCATGGCTGCCTCCTTGAACCAGTCTTTCCATACTCATCTTTCATCGCTCCTCTTAGTTTGTCTCTCTCCTTGCTGCTGAAGAGTACTTCATCTTCGCTTTTTTTTTTGAAACACCGACCATTTGTTTGCCTAAGGTTTCCTGTGTAGCGAGCAAACTCTCCAACTCTAATAATGTTGGTTGAGTCGGCCACCCATGTATAGCAGCAACGATTCCGTGATATTCCAGCCTCAAATTGTGGATGATTATTCTCCTCATCCTTGTATTGGATACTTTAGAATTTGGATCTAGTTGAACAATATCTGAACAGAGTGATTTTACTTGCTTGAAGTACTGATTGATTGTAGATCCTTCTGTTGCAAGGTCATCACTTGATTCTCCAGGAGTTGAAGTCGAGCATCATTTTTTTTCGAGAAGAGTATTGCGAGTGTATCTCATGCCTCCTTCAGAGTTCTAGCATCTCGCATATAGTCTACGAGATCTTCTTCTACTGTCGTCTTCAGTACATACATAGCCTTGTCGGCTTTGATGTTCCACTTTCTTAGTGTTTCGCCAGTTTCCCGAGGTCCTGTAGTTTCAGCACCCCGATGACCTCTCAGAGGTCTTGTCCTTGTAAATGGGACTTCATACATGTCTTCTAGTAGTTATAGTTATTACCATTAAGTTTCTTGAGTGTAGTAGTCGTATTTGCTAGATCCGCCATCGTGACGTGGTACTACTTCAGTATCTCCATGCAAGTTTGGTCCCTGACCATCCAACTTCACAGTTTCGGACTGAACACGAGCTTCGATCTTCAAGAATGCCGACATGATCACCGTAGAAGAGAGCGGGTCCCGACCGTCTTACTTCTATCACGAGTTGCAACTTCTATTATTTCACGTGAACAGTAATCGTACTTATAAACAGTAACCGTATTCATAAATAGTAACATTACTTATGAACAATAACCGTACTCGTGAATAGTAACCAGTGCCTTCAAATGGTAAATGATAAACTAACTTATTTTCTGATGTGGAGGATCCACCTTTGGTGACAGCCACATAGTATACGATAAGCAGATACACGCATCCTAATTCAGGCTCTGATGCCACTTGTTGAGTTGAGAGAAGTGATGGACACTAAGAAATATATTGTTATTATTTCTTTAGTGGTATAAACACAATATACTCTCAAATACAAACACACACTCTCTCTCTCTCTCTCTTTCCTTCTGCTAATGGATGAGTCTAACACAAACACTTGGGGAGTTATTTATAAGATTGGTTTAAGGTAGGTAAACACTATTAGGATTAGGTGATTATTGTAGTTGTAAGTGGGGGGATTAGGTGGGGAAAGAAGCTGACTTCAACAACTCTTTTACACATTTCAGTTTACAAGCAAAACACAACGTTACCCTCTTCTTAACCCTCCAAAAAATCTCCACGAATATGATTGATGTGTTTTATCATCCAATCCGAAAAGGTAATAGAATGATGTATAGTAAATTGAGATAACAACTATCCTTGAGTTTACAGAAATGATCCAGATTCAGTATGTATTTTTACCCATTTTCAGATCAAACAAAGAAGCAAAACAATAAAACCAGACAAAAAAAGGTTAACAAACTATTTCGCTTTCTTGGCGCTCAATGAGTTTATGTTGTGCATAGAAAGATAATAACATAGCTGAATGTGGGGAGTAGTATTTTTATCATATATTTTTTTTTTTGCAAAGTACAAAAAGCTGAGAGTTCACAACTTTAGAGCATTTACCATTAAAATCATCATGAGCGGGGGATGAAGAATTATTGAAGAAAGATGAAGAGATTAATTACACGAAAAGGAACTTTCAAGTATCGGCAAAAACAATGAATCTGCATCTCTTTTAAGAAAGATCCATCTGGCGAAGGACTACCCCTTAAAACCATGGAAATTTCTTAAATGGTTAAACCCATACTACTTTTGAAGAAACATCTTATGGTCATAATCTTCTCTTCAAAACCTCGGAAATTGATCGAATAGTTGAGGGAGTAGTTCGACAACATCCTCCAATAAGGCTAGCACCAGCTTCATGCCATCTTGTCGCGAGAACCTCAAAATTTTCCCCTCCAAAGCACTCAGATGGCTGCATTCAACAAGAAAAATAGTTTTTCAACTTTGCATAAACCATGATGATTAAGAACTATGTCTGATTTATGGGTGATTATAAATTAGAGAACTTTGTGTCCTATTGATCCTTGGACCAATTTACGTGTAATGCCAGTTCTATAAATGGATGCCAAAGCAATTAAAAGAATTTTAACACAGTTTTTAATAAACTTAGACGTACACTTTGTTTTAATTTCAACCAAAAAAGGATTCTAGTTTTGGTTTCCATCATCATCATCATCTAGATTGAATACTGGATCTAGTTTAATATTACAGAACTATTTTGCTTAAAAATTTCTTAAACTTCAACTGAAATGGAACTTTAATAAAATATTATGATAATGTAGTGACAATTTCAGCCGTACAGCAGGTATATTGTACAAGCATGATGGAAGTAATCTGATAAAATTGAAAGAAAAGACTCAATAACAACAACAGAGCCTGCTCACCAGCCATAGCTTAGCTTTCCCATCCCACACCTCACCGCTATTTGGATAAACGGCTATTGCTTTCTTAGTTAGCTGCGGAAAAAAGGACTAAGAAAATTTTATTTATATTTGTGACAAATAAAAATAAAAATCAGAACAAATTGCCATAGATCATATGCTTAGAGTATTAATCACTCGATTTCGGGAAGAAAAGCTTACCTTCCTGAATTTCAGAACAAGGTTCTCTATGCATTGAGGTGAAGAGCAATTTATTCCAACGATACTGACTTTGTCACTCTTATTTAGTATGTCTAGGCATTCTTCAAAGCTCTCCCCTGAACAGGCATTCTCACCATTTACTGAGCTGAAGCAGATCCAAGACGGGATTGGGACATTTTCTTCATCAAGAAGCTCAGCTATAGCCTGTCAATGTATCTTTTTGTCAAAAATCATTGAAAATCCATAGAAACATCAGGATGATAATTTTGAACAGTAAACAGAAGGTCCCGACTATAATAAGATCAAGTTTATTAGTTGTATTTCGAAATATACAGCTTTCTCTATGGACATTGAAAAGCAAAGAATTACATTGCTCATGATTTAAATATTGAGTGAATTACTTTAAGATCTTAATCATTCGGATGAAGTGGTACCCCACATGATATAAGTGCATAGCAAGAAAAGGAGTCCCAGATTTGTAGTTGGCTTTAAACATTTTTTCCCTTTCTTCCTCATGCATGCTGCTCTCAAAAATTTAAAACAGCATGTATAGTGCAACATCAGGGTACTGGGCGCAACATTAGGATACTGGGAAATAATAAGCGGGCACATGATGTATAACACATTGCGGACATATTTATGGAGAAGCAGGACCAACACAAGCTCAAAAATTTTATTTTCTATTTAAGCAGAGTATTGTAAGCCCTAGAGGTATAACTTTTCATCAATAAAATTTCTCTTTTAATATTTTCTTCGTGGATTCGGAGATCGTTCTTTGTGGATTCAGAGAACACAACTTGGTGGATTCCGAGGTTATCACTTCCGCACTACGTTAGCACATTATTTGGATAGTTAAATAGGATCGCTATTGCTACTAATTTCAGCCAGGAGAAGGAGGTTTGTCATTTGACGATTTCTCAATACTAACACAAAAAAGAATGAGCTATAGACAATATTTCAATATTAAACTAAGTTTTCATACAAACAGTCTGTACACACCATAGCACACAAGAAAAGCAGAAGTTTTATACTTATTAATTAAAATGACGACATATATAGTTAGGAAATTCTAAATAATTATTCAAAACTTAATCATTGCATACTGGTTGAGGAATCGTCTATCTGTAAATTTCTTTGTTATATTTCATTTTTATACAAAGGAAAGTAGTAAAAGGTAACTATCTATCAATAAATCTGCAAGGTAACGAACAGAATTGTCAGGACTATCTACACTTCGTTGGAGAATATTTATTGCATGCACATGGCAGCAGGGAACACCAGCAAAAACAGAATGTCCAGAATAACAATAATTCTAGAGGTAAACTTCTAACTTAATATTTCAAATAAATAAATATATAATCCCTACCTCAATTATATCAGAATTTCCTCTTTGTACAGGAGAAAAAAATAGCAAAAAGAACAACAAACCTTGGCTTCGATTTTGTTAGGAATGGTTTCAAAGGCTAGTAAATCAGGGCCCGCATCGACAAGAACTTGCAATCGCCTTCTGTGAAAATCTTTTAGTTTTTCCAAGGTGATATCCTTCCCATAGTAGCCACTGGCAGAAAAACCATTTCAAAGACAAGGAAACACACTTTCAGGGTAGATAATCAAAACAATATTTATTATTTGCAGGTGCAAAGGGAGATATTACAAACTAATAAGTTTGAAGGATTTTGTTTCCTTCAACATGGAGTAGAACTATGTTGTTTTCAGGATCTCCTTTTAAGCACTCAGAGATGTGAAGTGTAACTAAATAAACAGTCAAAACAACAGAAAAGATGGTGAAGTTTTTTTCTTTTCCTTTTTTAAGTTACTCGAAAGGTGCCCAAGAGAATGCAGATAAAAGTTGTAACTAACATACCACCATATACCTGTATTCTGAACCATCTGCAAGATAAGCACCATAGCTCCCAACAGAAGCAGCCACCAGAGCATGGTTATAATTATGTGAAGGATACCTCTGAACAAGTTTCCAAAACTTATCACGGGCTTCAAGTGCCAAATGAACGCTTTTCTGAAGTAAACTTTCGCTTTCGTTGACACTCAGCCCTTTGGATACAAATCCAAGGATAGTTGCCTGTACATCCCGTGAAAAAAGGTAAAGATTGAGATGCGCGAGAGACGCTTATATCACACTAGATACTTTTTGGTTTTTTTTTTGCCAAACATCTACTTACTTTGAATCGTGGGTTTAAGGTTCAAGTCCTGACATTAGGTTTTACTTATACCTACAAGCTAGGTTATGCATGATTTCGACTAAAGTGCAACTTATAAGGTATCAGTTAACATGCTGCAAGCACAGCAGTCTTTAAGATACTTATCGGTGACTTCGACCTTATTCCCTCTAATGAATAACTAAAAAGCCGGAGAAAAGAATAAATCATTGGCTTGATGGACTATATAATCAATATTGTCCGACTCAAGTATTCATAGCCCATGACAATAGGGAAGCTAAGGAAAGCTGCATGCTTCATTTTTTAAGTATAATCTGGAATCTACTCTTAATGAATTTGTCACTATGTAATAATGGCTGAGGATGTAAAAAATACTGCTCTGAAATTCTTTTCCTGGTTCACCTAGACTCTTAATAGAAAATGCAAACGCTGTGGTAAAACTTTATGCACTTCATAACAAACATAAGAGCAAAGTGTAATACAAATTTTAGTTGTAAAATTTAGATATGGGTCACATAAAGACAGCTGATAAAATGAACTGAAGCCAAATTACTGCACATCATGCTTGACATGACCTTTAACAAAATGACACTTCAATTGTCTCAACATAAACACTAAGTTTGTTGTACAAACAAAAGAGTTACATATTTTTCATTCCTATCACAGGACATATGTTTGAGACAGAGATATATAGAAAAATAACAGTTGCTTTTCCTGTTTATGTATGAGAAAAGGTTCAATGCAGAAAACAGACCTGATAAGATGAAGTTACTACTATATCAGCACCTGACTCAAGGTACTGAACATGCACCTGCACAAGAAAGGATAACTAACTATTATCAAAAGAATTATACAAACTCATAGGAAAGTAATGACGAGAACAGTGGCAAAGGTGGATTTTTTTTTTAATAGCTAAAAGCAGGATATACCCTATCCTGTATAATGATGGATTAAGAGTTAATCTAGCTACGCTTTCAAATACAAACGGGATTGAAACTGTGGGGAAATTCAACAAGAAATCTACTTATTGATAAAATATCAATAACCCTCTACTATAAACAGTCTTTTCTATGACTTTTGTAGTTACTATGCTGAGAAAATATTAGATGTTGGCATGCCCAGCTAATTTTATCTCTTTTTGAAAAAATACAGATGCTAATTGTCTACCGCATTCTCATGTTATACTAACACTAGGCATAGAAAATCATAAGGAATTAATGTGAAAATTCTTTTTTTAGATAAATGTTGTTGATAATAGTGTATTGTAGTGGGTTTTAGTCCCACATTGCTTGGGAGAACAAACCTCACACTCCTCTACTTGTATAAATATATGTGCACACTCAATATTCAATTCAAGGGAAATTTACCCAAGATTCTCTCTCTCTCTCTTACTTTAACATGGTATCAGAGATAGGGCTATTTCCCTTTCAATAAAATTTTTAACGCTTTTGCGTTCTTTTGCCAAATCATGGCCTTATTGCTTTGCAGCCGTTTAATGTTTTATTTTTTTTATTTTTATTTTTAATTATTTGGCGTTCATCTGCCAGATATTTTGGCCTTGTCGTTTTGCGGCCTCTTAACGCGTTTCGCGTTCTCGTTTAACCTTCGGGTTCTATTTTAAACCTTCGGGTTTCATTCTAACCTTCGGGTTCTATTTTAAACCTTCGGGTTTCATTCTAACCTTCGGGTTCTATTTTAAACCTTCGGGTTTCTCAAGACCGTTCGGGTTCTATTTTAACGGCATTGTCGTTTCAAGACCGTCTCTCGGTCTCAAATTAACGGCATCGTCGTTTCAAGCCGTCTCTCGGCCTCAAACGAACGACATTAGTAACAGCATCTCGACATCTTAACGTCTCAAGATTGCTGTTATGGCTCCTTCAGAGAAGATTCCCAAACCACCTTTGCCCCTCAATGATCAAAGTGACTGGGCAGGGTGGTCCACCATTGTCACCAATGCCTTGCGTGGCGCTGGTTTGCTTGATCATCTCACCAGTACGGGACCAGTTCCACCGTCCATCAGCACTGTTGCTTCATCCAGTACTATTGCCTCTGGCAGTGGTGATGTCGATCTTCAGACTGCTCGTGCTCTCTATGTCAAGGAGAGTTCAGAGTGGCAATTGCAGGAATTTCGTGTTATGGATTATCTCACTCGCTGTGTTGGCTCTGGTCTCACTGTCGAGATTGGCTCGCTTCCCTCTGCTCAGGCCATGTGGACTCGTCTCACTGAGCGTTTCACTGAGTGCTCGGGTGCACGGGAGGCATATCTTCTGCAACGCATTTCTCTACAACGCAAAGGTAGTTCATCTCTGCAGTCCCATTTTGGACAAATGCAAGCTTTTTGGACAGAGTTACGCTCCATGCTTCCTGGACGTAATTCCACATATGAAGACTGGCTAGCCTGGTACGAACGGCATGAGGTGCATCAATTGTTTCAGTCCCTTCCTGAATATTCAACTATGGCTGATCAACTACTTCACCAGCCTCAATTTCCGACTTTGGCCTCAGTTATGGGAGCTCTCACTGCTTATGAGACCCGGCAGCAGACAGCACGACTCAATTTGTCAACAGACACTCCTACCTCTTCACTCGAGACTGTTTTGTCTGTACCTGTCACTGCTCCTGTTATGAATTATACTTCTCCACAGGCTCCCTCTCCACAGGCTCGATCTAAGCTCTCTTGCAAATATTGTAAGAAGGAAGGACACCGCATTGAGACATGCTTCAAGCTTCATCCTGAGTTACGTTCCTCAGGTACTGGACGTGGTCGGCGACCCCCTCAGTCTCAACCCTCTCGTACACCAGGATTGTTGGCCAATGCTATACCTTCTACTACTTCAGACTCTACTATTCAAGCTATTGAAAGTCTTCGCCGTCAACTTGATGCTTTTCAACATATCACCTCTACATCCGCCGCACAACTCTCTGGTATGCATTTTGCTGGTTCTTCAGCTAATCCTTCAGTCTCTGGTATGAATGATCTCTGGATTTTTGACTCTGGTTGTTCCTTTCATATGACTTGTAATGCCTCACTTTTATCCTCTGTCTTTACTTCATCCTCTCTTCCTCCTATCTACACAGCTGCTGGACAACCATTGTCCATTACTCAGTATGGCTCTATTACCCCACAAAATGATCCATCTGGTCGTCTAACACTTGGTCCCGTCTATGTGGCTCCACAATTGTGCTTGAATTTAATTTCTATTAGCTCTTTATGCATGGCGGGCCTGTTTGTCTCATTTTCTTCTGATACTTGTATTGTGCAGGATCCACAGACGGGCAAGACGGTTGGGGCGGGTCGTAGGAGGCACAAACTGTATTTTCTGGAATATCTTCACCTTCCAGAGTCCATACGTCCACGTTCTCTTGTTGCTTCTCTTTGTTCGTCAAAACCCTCTACCTCGCTTCCTGCCAATTTATGGCATAGACGACTTGGTCATGTGTGTAATAAAAGGCTGGAGAGTCTTATTCAGTCTGGAGTACTTGGTCCTGTATCATCTAGTTCTAGTATTGAGTCATGTGCTGGTTGCAAATTGGCTAAATTCACTGCTTTACCATTTAAAATGAGTACATCTGTATCCACTTCCTTATTTGATTTAGTACATTCTGATATTTGGGGGCCAGCTCCTTTGCCTTCTTCATCTGGCTACTTATATTATGTTAGTTTTATCGACGATTTCTCTCGTTTTACATGGGTTTACCTACTTAAGAATCGCTCTGACGTACTTACTGCTTATCAAGCCTTCACTGCTATGATTTTCACTCAATGGCAATCTCGTATTAAAGTTTTTCGTTCTGATTGTGCCAAAGAGTACCTATCCTCTGCCATGCGCTCTATCATGTCCTCTCATGGGACTATCTTTCAACAGTCATGTCCCTACACTCATGAGCAAAATGGTGTTGCTGAACGCAAACATCGTCATATCCTCGATACTGCCCGATCAATGCTCATTTCTTACTCTGTTCCTCGTCGTTTCTGGGCTGAGGCTATTCTCACCGCGACTCATGCCATTAATATCACTCCATCTAGCTCTCTTTCCGGTGCTACTCCTTATAGTCGTGTTTATACTCATCCTCCCCGTTATGATCTAGTTCGCGTTTTTGGTTGTCGATGTTTTGTTTTTCTGCCATCTCACGAACGTGATAAATTGTCTCCCAGAGCAGTTTCTTGTGTTTATTTAGGAATTAGTTCAGAACATCGAGGTTATCGTTGTTATGATCCCGCAACTCGTCGAGTTCATATATCTCGTCATGTTCAGTTCGAAGAGGATTCTCCATATTATTCTACTTCTGATGACTTTAATTTCCTCCACTCTACCGATCATGCTTCCCCGTCCACTGCATCACCCACTTCTTCACCTCAATTTTCCTTTCGAGATCTCCCTGACATCTCTCCCTCTCCTTCTGTTGACTCTTCCTCACCTGAGTCTTCTCTTACACCATCTAATCCATATCCTGTGGACACAACTCTCACTCCAGAAAATACTGTTGATCTTCATGCACCTGCGCCAGCATCTCCCCCGCCTGAGGTTCCTCTTGCTCTTCGTCGAGGCAAACGCCCACATGTCATGCCTGCCCGGTATGCTTCTGTTACTTCTTATTCACCTATCTTTCATAACTTTCTTGCTGCCATTCATACTATTGTTGAGCCAAAGTCCTTCCAAGAGGCAGTTCAAATTCCAGAGTGGCGACAAGCTATGGCTGAGGAATTTCAAGCATTTCAGCAAACTCATACCTGGGATATTGTTCCCTGTCCTCCTGGGATCTCTCTTGTTGGCAGTAAATGGGTTTATAAGGTCAAGTTTCGTCCTGATGGCACCATTGAACGTCGAAAAGCTCGTTTAGTGGCTAGAGGTTTTACTCAGCAACAAGGTATTGATTATGAGGAGACCTTTGCTCCTGTTGCTCAGATGCCCACTGTGCGTACTCTCCTTGCGGTCGCTGCTGCTCATCGTTGGCCCTTATACCAGATGGATGTCAAAAATGCTTTTCTTCATGGCTCTTTATCAGAGACCGTATATATGCAACCGCCTCCAGGGTCAAATATTCCTCCGGGACATGTATGTCTCCTTCGTCGTGCTGTTTATGGTCTCAAACAGGCACCCCGCGCTTGGTTTGAGTGTTTTCGCGATGTTGTGCTCAAAGCGGGCTTTATAGAAAGTCATCAAGATGCTTCTCTGTTTGTTCGCACTACATCGCGTGGCAGGGTTTTATTACTCATCTATGTAGATGATATGATCATTACAGGTGATGATATGACAGGTATACAATACGCAAAATCTCAGTTGCAACAACAGTTCCACATGAAGGATCTTGGATCTCTTCGGTATTTCCTTGGTCTAGAAATTTCTCAAGGCCCGCGGGGTGTATTACTGTCTCAACAGAAGTATCTCTCAGATATTCTAAATCAAGCTGAGTTAACTGATAATACAACTGTCGATACTCCACTCCAGCAGAATGTCAAACTTTGCTCTACTGACGGTGAGCCTCTATCTGATCCTACCCGATATCGACATCTTGTTGGTCAGTTGGTCTATTTGTGCATCTCTCGACCAGATATCTCTCATGCTGTTGGTATTGTCAGTCAATTTGTTAGTGCCCCACGTTCTGTACACTATGCTGTCTTATTACGGATTCTTCGGTACCTCCGGGGTACTAGCACTCGCTCACTTTTGTTTCCTGCTACATCTAAGTTAGAGCTTTGTGCATATTCTGATGCTGATTGGGCTGGTGATCCAACTACCAGAAAGTCTACCACAGGTTATTGTATATTTCTTGGTGATTCCCTTATTTCCTGGCGAAGTAAGAAACAAGATGTTATTGCTCTTTCCAGTACTGAGGCAGAGTATCGTGCAATGTCCACAACAGCTAAAGAGATTATTCATCTTCGTCGCCTTCTCAGTGATTTCGGTATTTCTGTTACGACTCCTACTCCTCTCTACTGTGATAACAAGAGTGCCATCCAGATTGCTAATAATCCAGTATTTCATGAAAGGACCAAACATATTGAGATCGACGCTCATTTTGTCCGTCACCAAGTTATCAAGGACAAGACAATTCTACTTCCTCATGTTTCATCCGCTGACGAGCTTGCAGATTTCTTCACAAAGGCCTTACCTGTTCATCGGTTCCAGTTTCTTGTACGCAAACTCACTTTGTTTGATCCAACATGAGTTTGAAGGGGGCTGTTGATAATAGTGTATTGTAGTGGGTTTTAGTCCCACATTGCTTGGGAGAACAAACCTCACACTCCTCTACTTGTATAAATATATGTGCACACTCAATATTCAATTCAAGGGAAATTTACCCAAGATTCTCTCTCTCTCTCTTACTTTAACAAATGTAAAAATGTACAAGGTTTGCAAAGAAAGTCAGAGGAACCCTCAGAACAAGTGTAGAGTTTTGGTGAAGTGGAAGGGTCTTTTGACATGATATCATCAGAGCAACCATTCACATCTCACCTCCCATGCATAATGCGGATTTTAAAAAAGAAAAGAAAAAGGTATCGCTCCGTGAGTCTATTTCGGGATCTCAACCTGCCGGCCATGTTAGAGTATGTAACTATAACCCTCAACGCAAGCTTGGAGTTCTGGTGTGAGGGCCCTTTGAAACAATTTCCAACAACATCTTATATTAATAAGGCTAAAAAATACATATATCAGATTAACGTAATCAGAGTAAAAATAGTAACTGTTCTTTTACTCATCCATGTTTAATTTCAGCCTTAATCCATCGCCATACAGAAAATTAGAGCACATTTCCTCTTATCACAATTTTAGACGTAAAAATGCAAAATGGGCACAAATTACATCAAAATAGAACGAAATAGTACCATAAAATCTCTAATCAATACCTCTTCGATGAGCTCAGGATTGGAGATCAGACAACGAGCGCTCCAAAGAGGATCGTCGAAGTGGGCCCCGAGCGCCTCCAGCTGGGTGGCGAGGCCGCCATCGATGACGGCGCAGCCACCGGCCCTCTCGATCAGATCCTCCACCGCTCCTTTCTTCAACCCCATTGCTCAAAGCTCAAAAATTCAAAATTAGGCTTTTGAATGGGGTTTTCAAAGTTTGAAACTTCGGTGCGATATAAAGCGGCGGAGGGAGAAGAGGGCAGGTGTCTGTTTGAAACTGGCGAACGCACTTGGACCGGTTCTTGAAAACGCGTGAACCGAGCCTTGAAACGTGGCGAGGTACTTTTCAGGGCTGGCACATTTTAGGGAGGTATTTTTAAGGTCTGGCACATTTTATGTAAGGGATTGTTTGTTTGTGCGGAAATAATTATGAAATAGATGAACTAAAATAAGTAGATGTTATTTTTATTATTTCCAAGCAAAAAAGTATGTTTGGTTATCTGAAAAACTTACGCCTTGTTTGGTACATGAGAATGAAGTCAAGTGAGAATGAAATGAAAGAATGAATGAAATGGAATATATGTGAGAATGAAATGGTCATTCTCATTCTCTTGTTTGGGTGTGTTTGTAGAATGAAGCTAGAATGAAAATATAATTCACATTCCCATATTTGGTATCACTAGTTCACAAGTGAGAATGGAATCTCATTTTCTAATAATGCCCTTATAACAACATAGAATCACTAGTTCACAAGTGAGAATGGAATCTCATTTTCTAATAATGCCCTTATAACAACATAGATTTTTAATAAGATAAATAATGCCCTTATAACAACATAGATTTTTAATAAGATAAAAATAAACATTAATGATAATAACTAAAAAAAGTTATTTATGCATATGTTATATTAATCTTGGTATGTGTTATACTAATACGCATGTTATCGATCAGGTGTATGTTTCGTTTATATTTTTTAAACAATTCTCACTATTTCTTAGTCTTGAAAAACTAAATAAAAATAAATAAAAGATTATTGCATCTTTCATAGGTCCAAAAAATATAAAGAATGAGAATACGTCAATTTCAGGGGCGATGAATAGAAAGGAGGCATTTTTGTTTCAGTGGAGCCTAAAAAAACAGAGAGAAAATGAGATTACGTAGTCAAAAGCCATGATTTTTAAATCAATTCTTATTATTAATAGAGGTATAATTGAAAAAATAACCTAACTAATTTGATTCTCCCCTTGAATGGGAATGATCATTCCCTATCTTCTTATTTGGAATGTTCATTCCCATAAAAAGTGAGAATGACCATTTCATGAGAATGGTCATTCCAACATCTAAAAATTAGTTTTGTTTGGTATATCTAAAAACTAGTTTAGTTTGGTATGAGGAAATGAGAAGTGAGAATGATATTTTATTCCACCTCATTATCGCGTACCAAACGAGGCCTTATTTCAAATACTTTTTTAAACGTTTATGTGGCGCCTACGTGTCATCCATACTTCCAAAAAGTTTTTCCAATCCTCAATACTAACAAATAGCTTGGAAGTAGTTGAAATGCATATTAATTAGGAAATAAATAATTTTTTATAAATATTTTCTTTATTAGTTACTTCTAACAACTTCCTAAATTTTTATTAATATTTCCTTTGTTTCTCGTCTACACTATTAATATGCATACTAATTATTGTTCTCGTCTACACTATTTATTGCTTCTCGTATTCTTGATGTAAAAACTATTTATTGTTTCTCATACAGTACAGTATCGGTCATTTCATGTCTACTTTATTGTTTCTGATGAAAATGTTCATTTCTCGTTAAAACTATATGTAAAAACTATATGAAATGTTCATTTCATTCCTGATGAAATGTTCATTTTCAATTTCCATTTCTTTAACTATTTATTGTTTCTCGTCTACACTATTAATAACAATCACTATTTATTGTTTCTCGTCTACACTATTAATTATAATTTTAATTACTTCCTAGTAATATTTTTAAATATTATCCAAACAAAAAAAGTAAATGAAGAGGAAGAAGTTCTACTTCCATTAATTCTAAAAAGATATGAAACAAATAAAAAAAATGTTATTTTCACTACTTCCTACTTCATAGTTTTGAAAGTCATTTCTATAATCTACTTCTTACTTCCAATACTTCCATTATCCAAATGGGCCATAAGTTGTGACTATTTATTTCATAAGAATAGGCTGAGCAACCTATATCTGGTAACCCTTTAAAACTGAGTGGGCTGATTTAAAGAGTCCATCAGGAGTCAGGGTCTCGTTTTGGGTTTTTTTGTTAGAATCTGTATTGGTCCGGTTTTTCTAGGCTAAAAAGACTAATTCTTTGCTTAGCATAAAACCGAACTCATATTGATCCTAACCCAATTTCTTTTGGGATTTTTTTTAAAAAGACCGTTTTTGCTAAATAATTAGTAAAATCGACCATTTTGCTAATTATTTAGAAAAAACCTTTTTTTTTGCCAACATGCCAAAAAGATGTCGATTTTAAAAAACGCACAGCTCAGAACATACGGGGCTACTAGTCCCGTATATTTTAGGTAAACTAATCACGGACTAGCTCACAGAAAACATACGGGACTACTAGTCCCGTATGTTTTGGCACTCATTTGATCTTCCAATCCCTGGTTAGTTCACCCAAAACATACATGACTAGTAGTCCCGTATGTTCTGAGCTTGGTGTTTTTTAAAATTGATATCTTTTTGATATGTTGACCAAAAAGAGGTTGATTTTGCTAAATAATTAGCTAAATGGTTGATTTTGCTAATTATTTAGCAAAAACGATATTTTTTACAAATTTCCTCATTTCTTTTAGAAGCATATTTCAATCACATCCTAAGTCTTGTGTAGAAATGCCAGAAAAGAATGGGTAAATTCCACAAAACCCTCTTGAACTTTGGGGTTGTTGCACGTAACTCCATTCAACTTTGTTTATCTCATATAATCTCCTGAACTATGGGGTGTCTCACAAAAACGTCCTAAACTTCATCTTATCTTACTAATCCCCTTTATGTTATTTGTAAATAACTAAAACATGTCTTACATAACCTCCTGGATCATGGGGTTCCTCACAAAACCGTCCTACATTTTATCTTATCTCACATAACCCACTTTATGTAATTTGTAAATAACTAAAATGTTTTTGAGTAAAAAAATCCCAAACTTTATTGCTTATTGTTTACACGCACCCCCCCCCCCCCCCCCCCCC